CAGTGAGGGGCATTCCGCCAGTCACTTTTGTAGTCACTCTCCTCCCCACACTTGTTAAGTGTAACCACACAGTAGGACAGGCTGTAATAGCAAGCCGGTGCTTGACCAGCCCACGTGCTGCTAAATGGTAAACAAAAAAAGAGGATAGCATTATTGTAAATGTGTGTGTAGTAGTGTGTTTGTGTGTGAAAGTTTGTATGACTGGCAGTGTGTATTGAGATGAATGCTTGGCAGTGTGTATTTAGTCGAATGTGCGTCTAGTAGTGTGTATTGATGTCCGTGTGTGTGTATTTCATGAATGTGTCTGGCATGCATACCTGTGTGTGTCTCTGTCTAGGAGCATGTGGGAGTCATACACACACAGCCCTCCCCCCCCCAGAAGCCTCATCCACAAACAAAAACTACAAACAGCACCCGACACAACACCATTGACATCACACCCAACACATGCACACACAATCAGCCCCCATATTCAAACCAAATACACACACCACATACACATATATAAAATATACACGATACCACAAACTGTGCATGCACATGGGCAATAACACATCCAGCCCACATACAACTTCAACTTCTTGCTTTGGCTCAAGGCTGCAAAAAGGTTGGCTACCATTGACTTAATATTGACATTTAAAAAGTGTTACTCCAACCACCATGACCACTTATGCTTTTAGAAGTGGTCATGGTAATAGACGTCTGTATTTGCAGCGTTTCTGCTTGACAGATGTTTTGCACTTTTCTGCTGAGGGCTAGTTAACCCCCGTCACAAGTGATTTTGGCACACTTTTATTTGTAGACAAGGCTGGTGCATGCATTTATGTCTACACAGGCGAAGACTAATTTAGCTGCCCCCAAAATTCACCTTCACCTGTCTGTCTGTTATTCCTTCTTTTTCCCCTTTTCCCATCTTTTTTTGTTTCTTTTCCCTTTTTGCATATTGTATCCTGTTTTTTACTCATTTCATGTTTTTGTAACTTTATACCAACGTTTGTGGTCTCTAACTTCCTTGTATCACACACTCACTCAATGGCTCATACCAAACACACATTGGCTCTAACACACATACACAGGCTCATATATAAACTCTCACCTTTTGTTTCTTATCATCGTTAAACAGGGGTACCACCAAGTGTTGCTAGCCAGTTGAAGCTGCCCTGAACACCTTTTTTTCTGTTACACAGCTGGAAGCAAACTAAACGGTGAATTAGTAAGTTGAGCATGTTTACAGAGAATGACTGGCGGGAAAGGGGTTCTCTGTGCTCATGCCAGTTACTCGGACATCTCTTCACACCTCGGGTTGGTGAGCCCTTGGGCGGCTACATATGCCACCTTATGGTAGCGCCAGTCCTGTTTGTATATGTAGTTGAATGACCACTGAAGTCATCCATCCCACTTCAGTTAAATGGTGTGGTCTGTGTGTAGTTTTGCAGAAAGGGTACTATTTACCATGAAGGGTAAAATATGCCTCTAGTGGCTGTCATACTGGCAGCTACATAGGTGGGATAATTTTGTCTCGGAAGAAGGGAGATTATCCTATTAGAGGAACACTGCAATGTTCAAAAACCATATGCATTTCTTTTTACCATTATAGTGTCTTGCTGGGGCCCTCCTCCATTGTTTAAAAAATTAAAAGAGGTTATGGTACCCGGAGCCTTCTAGTGCCTCACATAGCTTCATGTATTAAACCATTTTTCAACAGTTTAGTACTTAAAGGCACACTACATTGTTAGGAATACAAAGCTGTATGACTAACACTAACGTATTCCTCTCTCTCCTCCTCCCCTCCCCCCCACCCCCTTTCTGGCACTCAAAGTGTTTTCTGTCACTTACCTTATTCCAATGCTGAAGTTCGTGATCATCGCCAACAAGAAACCTAATGTGCATGAACGGGGAACGGTGTATGTGCATTAATTTGATCAATGTTTTCCTATGGGGGATTTGAAGATGCTGGATGTCCTCATGCAACTTCCAGCATCGTCCACGAAACCGCAGTAAGCGACTCTAGTTGTTGACTGGTAGGCAGCCACTAGAAGTATTCTTAACCCTGCAATATAAACAGTGCAGTTTTTCTGAAACTGCAATGTTTTAGATGCAGGGCTAAGGGGGACAGGGACACTGCACCCAGATCACTTCTGGTAAAGATGAGATGAAGTGGTTTGGGTCCCTATATTGGTCCTTTAAGTGGAGTCCTCCAGGCACCAGTCTGGCTTCCGGAACAGCAATAAGCTGAGTGTCAGATGATGCTCTTAGCCTATTACTGGCCCCCCATAGCTAGTAAGTCTTCAGAAAATTCTGTACATTTATATTGAAACTCATTTGCCACCAGTTCCCAATCCCCTAACATCCAAATACCTCTTCAGCGATGGATATCCTGCTCATTCTGTATTGCCTTTCCCAGTACTTTGCTATCTGCAAACAGAGACAGATGACTTTTGATGTCCATATCATTAAAGAGGTATTATAGGCATGAAAACAACTTTAGCTTAACCCCTTAAGGACCAAACTTCTGGAATAAAATGGAATCATGACTTGTCACACATGTCATGTGCCCTTAAGGGGTTAATGAAGTAGTTTAGGTATATAAACCATGCCCCTGCAGTCTGCTTATTTTTCTGACATGTAGGAGTTAAATCACATTTGTTTCTGTTTATTCAGCCCAAGTCACAGCTTCCCTTGATGTGACTGACTCAGCCTGCATGATGTTTTTGATCTAGTGTTTACTTATTTTAGAAGTTTTTGGGGGGGCTCTATAACGTTAACTTTTTTCCCCACACACACACAAGGCTTTTCATGTAAACCTTTTTATAAACTTGTACAGTAAGCACCTGTGTAGAACTAGATCAAATGCTTTACCAAACTCTAAGAAGATCACAACACCTGCAACACCAATTTACATTTCTATTCACATCTACATAGAATGCAATACTTGCATACAATACAAATTAATTTGACAAGCTCTGCTATACATAAAAGCATACATTTTTGATTATTTTCCTTTTACATCATTTCCCAACCAGGGATCTTACATGACCACCACAGAGATCCGTAGCCATTGGGTTGTTGAGCTGATGACTTTTCTAGAGATTGGACTAATGTCTCTGCTGACCTACCCTGCGGCTATACAGGTCAAGAGACTCACTCTTGAAGTTTGCGCACAGACGCACACGTCTTCCAATAATAGTTGGACTATGACGTTAAATGTAAAAACTGAACTGCAGCAGTTTTACTAATAGAAAGGTACGTGTTACATTGTGGAAGCAAAAAGGAACGCTACTGACTATATGTTCTAATTAAGATTTAGTAATGTAACAAGCAACACTATTATTAGATGGGTACAGCATTCAGAAGCACCTGAGCAAAACAGAAATCCGAAAACATCAATATATAATGTGCATTCAGAAAAACCTGCAACTTAAAATACAATTCATGATATTTTCATTAAAGCAGCGTCACAGTATACATACATATTTATTTCTAAAATTACACAGCATGTTGTATACATCAGGCATGGCTACCTAAACTACTAGATAAATCAGTAATCAGTTTGAGCAACATGAGTGATAATGCTCATTACTAGAATGCAATGTTTGACAGTGATAGTTTTGGGCTTTAACTGTATGTTCACCACCAGGAACTCAAGTTGAATCTGGCTGCACCTTGTCCTGCGAAATGCCACTAACATATACAAACACTGTACATTTGAATTTACATACAAAGAGCAGCATGATACAATCACACAAAATACCATATGTGGCGAAAGGGACCTCGCCACTAGTTTTTGGAGGGGACTGTTTGCCAGCCTCATGCCTTGGGACTATGGCCCCTGGGAGATTGGGCACTTTAAAAACACTTGGGGCTTATGAACTTTTAAAAGACTGTTCTGGCCCTTTAAATGAAACCCCATGGCGATTTTATTCTGTTTCTGGGATCTGAGCGCTGTTCGGATATATTGAGCGTTCGGATCCAAGCTATCTGGGGATAGGTTGAATGTGGGGGTTCTGTTCAATATAATAGGAATTATGTATTTTTATGTGTTTTTACGGTTGTTGTGAATAGAGCTATTTTCTGTATGCTGGAGATAATTGGCTTACCACACCCAAGCCATGCTTGCAGTCAGTCACAAAGGGACTTCCAACTAACTTTTGACCCACTGGACCAATTTGTATGATTTTGACGTATGTTTGTATTTGGAGTATGCGGATTCTGAAAATTTATGTGAATGTGATGTATACTTTTGGAGTTATAAATATTGTGTAAAACTGTATTTTCCTGCCTGTGATAATTACATTAGCCCACTGTGTTCAGTAATTATATCACAGGAGTGTGAGTGTATTGTACGTATTGATTGGTTGTACTTCAAAATCCTGTGGACGGTACTATGTTTGTAGAATGGGCATAAAAACAGAGTGTTTGAATAAAAGTTCAGTTCTACTTCACCCTCAATTTGGAGTGCCGTCACTTATTGGGGGAATCTGCTACAAGGGATTGCTATGCCAGTCAGACTCTCTTGCTATATCACTACTAAGAGCTTGTTCCTGTCTTGCTTGCTGAAGGAGTCTACAGTGGTTATGGTGTCTGCTGGAGTGCTTGGAGCCCTCAGGAAGTGCTAGGAGCATCCTTCAACTGAGGTACCCAGTCAGTATCTGCATTCTGAGAACTGACTCATTACAAAGTCAGTTAGCCGGTATGTGCTTGGTAGCTTGATTTATCTCCAGACATGATAGCTCTATGGATGGCCTTGGAAGTATCAGAGGGCACACCGTTCAAGGACTATCCCGTAGTCAGGTATACATTTACAGATGAATTGGTCACACAGAGTACCTAAATGGGTGCCATAGTCCATCTTATAGAGAAGACGACTACTGCAGAAAAGACAATTCTTCAAACTTAACTTACTCTGGTTAAAATGGACAAGGTAACACTTGGGTATAATAAGGTATGCCTTCAGAACAATGTTGTACATTTAAAATCTGGTATTAAAAGCTTTCCCTTTTTCAGGAAATGACAACACTTTCTTTAATGTGTGACTTTTTCTGGTGTTTAACAAGATATGAGGAACGGGTAAAACCTTTCCCACAATCTGCACAGGAAAATAGCCTTGTATGAATTCGTTGATGTTCAGTAAGACCTGATTTAAGAGTAAAACATTTGCCACACTCAGAACACGAGAACGGTTTTTCTCCTGTGTGAATCATCTCATGTTTAGCAAGATCTGATTTATCAGTAAAACATTTCCCGCACTCAGCACAAGAAAATGGTTTCTCTCCTGTGTGAGTTATCTGATGCCTTAGAAGATGCGAGGAACGGTTAAAACATTTTCCACAGTCACGACAAGCATACGGTTTCTCTCCTCTATGAGTCTTCTGATGCATAACAAGATATGAGGAACAAGTAAAACATTTTCCACATTCTGGGCAGGAGTATGGCCTCACACCTGTGTGAATCCTCTGATGTGTAACAAGATTCGATATATTGGTAAAGCATTTCCCACATTCTGAACAAGAAAATGGTTTCTCTCCTGTGTGAGTGCTCTGATGCCTCAGAAGGTATGCAGAACGAGTAAAACATTTCCCACATTCTGCACAGGAGTGTATTTTGTCACCTGTGTGGATCCTCTGATGTTCAACAAGGCTAGACTTGAAACTAAAACCTTTTCCACATTCAGTGCAAGAAAATGGTTTTGCTTCTATGTGAATCATCTGATGCATTACTAGATGTGAGGAACAGGTAAAACATTTCCCGCATTCAGAACATGAAAATGGTTTTTCCCCTGTGTGAATCCTCTGATGCTTTAGAAGATATGAAGAACGGGCAAAGCATTTTCCACACTCAGCACATGAATGTACTTTTTCTCCTGTATGAATTATCTGATGTTCAAATAGGCCCGATTTAAGTGTAAAACATTTCCCACACTCAGAACATGAAAATGGTTTCTGTCCTGAGTGGGTAGCCTGATGTCTATCAAGATTTGATTTACTATTAAAACATTTTCCACAATCAGCGCATGAGAATGGCTTATGTCCAGTGTGTGTCCTCTGATGTCTTTCAAGACTTGATTTATTATTAAACCATTTCTCACACTCAGAACATGAGAATGGTTTCTCTCCGGTGTGAATTCTCTGATGCTGAATTAGATGTGAGGAACTTGTAAACAATTTCCCACAGTCAGAACATGAATGGACTTTCTCTCCTGTATGAATTCTTTGATGTTTAACCAAACTTGACCTACAGTGAAAACTTTTCTCACAGTCTGAACATGAAAATGGTTTAGTAAGATGCCTTTTGGAAGAGATGTTTTTCTGAAATGAAGTTTTTTCCTCTTTTTCTTTGTTATCTGTATGAATAGATGTATGTTCTTTCGGAGTGTAAATGTCTGTGAGATTCCCTTCCTCACAAGAAGAAGATCCCTCTTTAATATGATATTCTGGCTGCGTATTTAATATGGGGTCACAAGCGTCTGTGTCTGTCAGATTTCGGTCTTCATCGGAGGCTGATTCCGCTTTAATATAAGTAGGTGTATATGATGTCTCTATATGTTCTGAGGGAGTATAAAAGTCATCTGTGAGATCATCTTCACACAAGGTAGATTCTTCCTTAACATGGACAAATGTATGCTCTGTGGGTGAATAAATGTCAGTGTCTGTAAGATCACCATCGTCTGAGGCAGATTCTTCCTTAATTTGAAAACATATGTATTCAGTCTCTGTAGCCGATTGGGTCAGGTTTCCTTCTTCAGGCGAGGCAGATTCCTTTCCCATCCTAGTTACAGATGTGCTTTGTTTTTTCACTGGTTTGATTAGCGATGAGTAATTTGAATCCTTGAGTTCAGTTTTATCATTATAAGCACAATCTGGTAACGTATCATGGATATGAAATCTTTCTTGCATAGTTCTTATGGATCCACCTATAAGAAATAAATACAGTAGATACGTTTATTAAATTCTTAGCGTTTTTAACAGAATAAATAGGATATAGAAATTTACAAAACAAAATATATAAATTGTTAGTGCTATGGATCATAACTGAATAATGTAGGATGTATTCCTTATCATGGCTAATGACAAAGACTTGCATCTGAATTTGAACATTCATTCTCATGAGATAATATGCTATTTAAAGGGTTACTCCAGCGTCCAAGACCACTTTCACTTTTAGAAGTTGTAATGTAACAAGCAATCTATATGCCTATATAAAATAAATATGCAATAAGATTGCAATAAATAAATGAAGTTACCAAACTAACATAAAAGTATCACACATGAAAAAATATAGCAAAGAAGTCAATAATTTGCAATATGCATTAAATCAAAGCTCAAATGTTTCACTCACTGTTAGTTTTAAAGGATCACTATATGGTCAGGAACACAAACATGTATTCCTGACCCTATAGTGTTAAAACCACCATATAGCCCCCCTGGGCCCCTCATGCCTCCATAAATATAGTAAAATCTTATTGTATTCAAGCCAGAAGCTGTAACTCTGCATGCTGTTTGCCTCAGAAAAACAAGCAGTCTGCTGACATCATCAGAAGTGGTGGTCTGATCCAATCACAATGCTTCTCCATAGGATTGGCCGAGACTGACAAAGAGGCAGATCAGGGGCAGATCAGGGGCAGAGCCAGCATGATTCAAACACAGCCTTGGCCAATCAGCATCTCCTCATAGAGATGAATTGAATCAATGAATCTCTATGAGGAAAGTTCAGTGTCTGCGTGCAGAGGGAGGAGATACTGAATGTTTGGATGCATTTTAGGCAGCCATGACCCAGGAAGGATCTGTAACAGCCATCTGAGGAGTGGCCAGTGAAGTTATCACTAGGCTGTAATGTAAACACTGCATTTTCTCTGAAAAGACAGTGTTTACAACAAAAAGCCTGAAGGTAATGATTCTACTCACCAGAACAAATTCAATAAGCTGTAGTTGTTCTGGTGACTATAGTGTCCCTTTAAGTTGCCTCAGTTGTGATTGGGGAAACAGCAGCTCAGTTAGAAGAGTAGCTAAATAACTGATAAACAATGCTGTGATGACCACAGTATAATAAATAAAATAAATCAGGGTTCACAATTACTGGTGCATATCTACTAAATGCTAAACAGCCGCTGAATGGCAGCAGGATGCCATTCTGTTGTCACAATTTAGCTGTTTTAGTAAAATGTAATCCATTCAGATATTCCTAAAGGCAAATTATATTATTACAACAGAATCTGTATTTCCACTTGGCTGCCTTTAAGTTGTCTGCTGAAATAAGCCAGAATGTATTTCGCTACTCATAAACAGACCAAATTGAATCTAGTGATATAAGGAGAAAGCAGCTGCAAGTGACAGAAAAGCAGAGGTAAGTATAAGATGGAGAGAAACAAAAATGCAAGTAGCAAGGTTAAGATGAGGGTCAGCCAGTAACTTGTAGATATCTAGCAAAATAGGTATGGAGTAGCTCTATAAACACACACACACATATATATATATTTTTTATATATAGGTATATAAGGTAAGGACAATTGCCAAATTTGTAATTATTACTAATTTAATGTAGTTTTCCTATACATACTGGGGTATTTTATTGGTCACGTAGCATTGCGGGGAGTTTAGGGGTCACATGATCGCTTAGGTATACTTCCGGGTTTCGGATAGTTGGCGGTCTTTGCTCTTTCCCACACACCTGTTGGTAAGTTATTAATCTTTATTGTTGTGTATATATACTTACCTGATTCACTGTTTATTTTATCTTGAAGAAGACCCTGTGAGGGTCGAAACGTCGATTGTTTAAAGATTTGCACATGTAATTTGCACTAAAGAATAAACCAGACTTTGGATGAAGACCTGTGAATGCTCCTTATATATTGATTTTCGTTATATGCCAAACGCTGAGGATTGCACCCAGGCAAGATTGAATTTTTTGAAACAGTAAGGGTGAGTGCCAAGAGTCCCTCTTTTATATATATATATATATATATATATATATATATATATATATATATGTTTGTATGTGCACATAGTATATAAACATATGCATGTATTATTAATAAATGTGATGTGTATTAAAGAGTAAATATGATAAGTGTATAATAAAGAGCATAATATTCCATCTATACGTTGTGCTAGCAGATATGCTAGCAAATGTATAGATTTTAATTTAAAGCTCATTAAAAATATGGTCCCTTCTCTACCTTTCAATGAAATCCTCAACATTAGATGTGTGGCAGTGGAATACAGGGTCTAATGCCATACATTGTGTGAGTGTGGCCTGGTGATAATTGCTCTTCCCTGAACCAAATTTAATACATTTTCATATCTAGACAAAAATCTCCATATCTTAATCAGTGGTTCTTAAGCCAGGATCAGGGCACACATTTAGGTACCCTCTATGTAGAACGGATTTTACATTTTCATTAGGTCCAAGGCATTTGCCCATAATAGATACTTACCTACCATACCTACCAGTAGAGCTCATTTTAGTGCTTGAAGGCCCTAAAAGCTGTTTCCAATAATTTTTGGATATGTAATCTCTTTGTACCCTATACTTGGGGAAGAAGGAACAGAACAGACTGTCGCCTTTGGTGCTGATGATTCACAGGTGTGAGGCAGTGAGACTGGGGAATCTTAAATCTTACTACACTGCTCCCATTCAGTGATGATAGTTTTTACGTAATCCACAGAGACAGAGAGTACCTTAGACAACAGAAAACAGTCAGCAAAACAGAAAATGTTCCACTTCCTGTATTAAGTGTGAATTGGACACAATAAAACAGTAACCATTAACAATAATATTATAAGTGAACTAAGAATCCCACACTCTCTCAGGAATCTTCCCCCCGAATGGTTACTGATCGTTACTGACTGTCGTGTAAATTATGGGAAAGAATGTTACGGTGATGACAGTGTCGTAAACATCAGCATGGCCATGAAGAATCATTAGAGCGTCGTGACCATTATCATTGTTGCCGTACTTTCATGAAATAGTTGTAATATGGCATTATCAATTGTATGTCCATTTGTATGGTAATATTGTGTTTCTTTTACTTCTATTCAACTTTTTTAAAATTATTATTGAACATTTAGGTGATACTGAGAATATGCTTCATATATAATATTATTTACCCTTTTACAGTCATTTAGCAAAGCACTGGAATATTTAGCCTACCGGTATATATTTTAGGAAATATTGTTCACTATACCATGTGAAAGTGAGTCACAGCTGTTGAATAGGACCTGTTTATTTTTATGCAAGCTATTTCCCAGCCACGCAAGAGTTACTGCATCTCGTTCAGTATGCGCTGGACCAATCAGAATCAGAATCATATAATTTACCCTTATTATCTCTTGCCCCTTGACAATCAAGATGTTAGCTGTCAGGTTCAGGTGTTTGTTTGCTAGAAGGAAAAGCAACAAGTAGTAACAAGCGTACCTGTATGCCTGCAAGACATTAACCTTTTCAGTGCCAGAGAGGAAGATAAATATTTGATAGGAATATAAATTTAGATGCAGGTGTATACCATAAGCCGGTGCTTTTGGAAGCTTTTGAGTGGATATAACAATATAACGTTGAGTGGATATAACAATATAAATCTGATTAACCTTTTCCATTAGGAACTCTTTAACAGCAGCAAGTAGAGCGTGACATAGATATAAAATACAAGAGTCAGCACCTATAATTATGAATAAAAAGCAATTTCCTATACCAGTTTCTATACGCTGGTATGGCTAGAAAATTATAGCTATGTACAGATGTTTTTTATTTCAGTTATAAAGCTATGTAGCTATTGTAAAGTGATATATTACATCCCCTGGTTTCCAACAGGTTCAGAAATAATAGGGTATCGTTAAGTGTAAGTGTACTAACTGGGTTCCTAGCTTATCTCTGAATTCTAGCTAATGAAATCCAATTTGCTAAACTGAGGTTAAAATAACCACAATGTGACTGTACTTGTTTTAGTAAACGGCAGCAGAGCAAGAGGGTCCACGCACTCTAATAACTTTAGGCACGTTTATTTAAACATGTGGGATACTGCAAAATTTGAACCAAGATAGGGTATTTGTCAAGCTTGGGTCAAAACGTTGCACGTCCCACATGTTCTAATGAACGTGCCTGAAGTTATTGGAATGCCTGGACCCTCTCTCTGCTAGTGGTATCTATAACAGTTGGGCTAGTGCTGACCCGTGGTCTAGCTAAGCACCCTTTTCTTAATGTGAATTGAGTGAGGTTCCCCTTTCTACTTTGCTATACCTGTTTTAGTAAATAACCATGTAAGTGTTCCGTAATGAAGGATTTATAGGCAAATGTAGCGATTCTAACTTACACTGTAAATGCTGAGACGTAGATTTTGATAAAATATGTACATGGTAAAACTCGCACACTTATTTTATTAGATATGGAAGATGTAGTATTGCTAATTTGTTATGAAGACACTCCTTAAAACAATGGCAAAACGCACCTCAAAATTCTAGTGTTTCAAGGTGCAAACACGTTTAGAACGCCAGAAAACCACACAGAGTAATATATGATGGATGGACAGGAAAATTGATTAATAGACTGGTGTCTATTCCTCTCCTGCTACTGTAAAAATAAATTAAAAAAAAAAACACCCAAGCCTTCATTAAATACTAATCTAGCAAGCTAGTTTTCTACCCTACCCTAAAACTTTTGTGTCACTATACCCCATTCCCTCTAGCATGTAAGCTCATTGAGCAGGGCCCTCAACCCCTTTGTTCCTGTGCATCAAACTTGTCTGGTTTTAACTATGTGTCTATCAGTCCACCCATTGTACAGCGCTGAGGAATCTGTTGGTGCTTTATAAATAGTAATAATAAGTTGGTAGATAGATTTATGACATTTTGAAATATAGAGCTTTGTATGTACTGTACTTATTATTTAACACATACTTCATTATAATATTAAAGGAAAATATAAACAACCTGTGGATATTTAAATCTAATTTTAAAGAAAATATGGTGGATACAATCTAAATTCATGAGGATACATTTCTATTGTAAAAATTCTAAAAATGCTAAATTCTTCTGTAAATCAATTTTTGTACTTGAAACCTTAATTATCTACAAGATCCTCAAACAGATAAATAGGCCCAACGGAATAACATTGACATTTCCACTCTATATCCTTTCTTTATTTTGTTGTCGTGGATCTATAGAATACTGCGATTCTCTCATCCCACCTTCTGGGGGATAAACAATCAAACAAAAGCAAACGTGTCCATTCACGACAAGTGCAGCCTGATGTACGACAGTCTCCAATAAAAAAAGTGGCTGAGTCCCTCGAGAATACTGGGAGTCATGTTTCATAGAATGACAAGAGCAGCATCAGATTTACTTAGGTGCTGAAAACAGAGCATTTCATTTCATTACTGACGGATACAGCATATTCTTATGTGTAGAATATCGTCAAGGTCCCTACATAGGGTCGCCACACTTGATTCGAAGCCAAAAGAAAAAAAGAAAAAGCAGATATTGCGAGAGAGCATCAAAACTACAAATTCTTTACATGACCAAATTAGTAATTGTTTTGTCATCATGGAGGACAACAAGATGTTTTATGTTCTTTTTGCTTTATTATTGTGTCTTCAAGACCGGATTTACGTCAAAGGCCAAGAGTGTAGACTAATAGGAAAGTTTGATCTACATGGATTTCTGGAATCAAAAAACCATCATCTTATCATCGGTGGTATGTTCCCCTTTCATTTCAGGACTATACTTACAAATGATACATCAATGGAAGAACCCAAGTCTCCTAAATGTGAAGGGTAAGTCATGGGCTCAGGGGGTTTATGGAGCTAATGTAATATGATTAAAAGGCAAGTTCCTACAAGTGTTTCCTACAAGTATTTCCAGTGAATTGTTTCTTTCGGTTAATTTTCTTTATGTTGCGTATCTCAAAGAGAAGAATAGGACAGAACTTCTAACACATCTCATGATATATCAAACACTGTATCCTACATATAGTGAGTTGTAATTAGTTTAAACATAATCGAAATATCTAGGTGTTAGGGAAACTCTAAAATATCTAACTTTTCTTACACTGCTAATGTGGTCCTATAATTTGAAGGCTGATTTTCAAGTCACAACATTTTACTGTTTAGTAAAAAATAGGCAAGTGCTTAGTAAAAAAAAAAATCCATTTATTTCAATTTCAAGTCGGACTGAAATGTTGACTGGTTGACTGGTACAGTTTGCACAAATAACGGAAATATTGCACAAGACCACAAGCCATCTGAATGCTTTTTTACTGGGATGTCATTTATTTCAATTACATTTTCCTTCTCACACAAGTTTTATGTCTAATTAGCAATCTATCTATGAAATGTCAGTATCTAGAACTAGGGGTTCTGATTTAACTTATTGCTTTAGTCTCATAACCTAAACTTCATAATCTTTTCCTGTTGTTTAAATATCGATTTAAAAAAAAAAAAAAAAAAAGTTGCCGTTTTTACAGTCTAGTCCCTAAAGATCGTATGCCAGCATACGTCCTGCAAATTTAACATTGTTAGCACTCAACAAACTTGTAGTTTATTAATTGAGTGGGTCATCTCGTCGTATGTTAGAATGGGCTTCTCACAGAGCAGATTGTTATGACAGCTTAGACCATCAATAGTAGAGACGTACTGGATACCGCACTCACTAAATAACCCAGGTGATCTGAAGCAGTAACGTTTCGACCCACCGGGTCTTTATTAAGCTTGATAAAAACCCGGTAGGGACGAAACGTTGCTGCTTTTGCCCCAATAGAGCTGCTATTTTTGTTATCCCGGAGTGCCTGAACCATTTTTTATTCGGCACAGCTCAGACCATGCTTCCCCAAACTCCAGCCCTCCAGATGTTGCTGAACTACAACTCCCATGACTCTCAGCCTATTTTATTCATAAAATCATGGGAGGTGTAGTTCAGCAACATCTGGAGGGCCGGAGTTTGGGGAAGCCTGGCTTAGACCATCAAGGTCTGTAACTCTGTAACTGTAACTCTAAGAGGCAACATTTGGACTAACATTGTTAGATCATACATTTTATTCATGTCTCATAAACTATACACTTACATGTATTCTATAATGTTAAATATTGAGCAAGGCCTGGTTAAACTGGTTTCAATCATATACTACCGTAGTTCTTAATCTGTCCAATTTTGGTCAGGTGTTGATTCACCTTTTATATTGTGTCACTAGTTTTAAATAAAATTTGTGTATTGTGTACTGTGTATTATAGGAATATAATGCCAGCAAGGGTTACTGACGACATAATAATAAACCATAAGATAGATCCTGTGTTACTTGAATATCTCAAGATCTCTGAGAATACACACAATACAGGCATCAACACAATGTATATTTGGTATTTTTACATTTAGTATAAGATTAGTATTAGAGCTAGGTTTAAGTTTCCTTTAAACGTATGCAACACTGGGGTATATATATTGCAGTCTGCTGAGATTGGTAAGAGTCTTACTCCCAGGCCTATTCCGTAATTTAACCCCTCTCCTTTTATTGACATGCTGTGTGAGGAATGAGCTACAGAAACAGCACAAAAAAATAGCACTATTAAGTACCAGTCACGCCATACAATATGCTTTTTATTATACAGTATGACATCATCAACCATGTAGTAGATGATTTGAAAATGTGGTCTGCCCTTGGAAATAATAGTAGATATTATACCTGTAGGAAAACTAAAAAACAAACAAGCAATAAAGGCGCTGAAAGTGCTAATGTAAAATATAAAGATAATAAAAGTGTAGCAGCACCTAAAAGTGTACAAGCTCATAAAACACCATACATAAAATCCAAAATAAAAATACTGGTAGATATTTACTAGACAGTACTGGCAAAAGGCTATTAGGCTGCTATATGGAAACGGAGAGTGTGGATTTTATTTATTCTCAATAAAGCTGTTTTACTTTTGGAAGCTGGTGTCCTGCCTATTTGCACCAACATTGAAGTCCTGGTCTTTGGATTTAAAGCTGGATCAGTTAGAGCAGGCTTTTACTGCTCTTTTCTTGTGAGTGATATTCCTAATTTTATTTGCTGGTTTTTATATTTATGTAAACAATATTATACTATGTTTCTCCATTTTATATCTCTTTTTACATATGTTCTTATGTGATTTGGAGAATTTAAGGAGATATACATTTCCCTTGTAAGTTATTTGTTTTGGATATTGAATTTTTACACCATCACATTTGCATTTTGCACTTATGTCACACTGAATGTGATTATATTGTAGACACACTCTGTGTTTTTGCACAAAATATTTGCACAAATTATTGCACTATTTGCACTTTTTAATATTTAAAGGTACAGCGCACCTATTTTTATTTTGGATATTATACCTGTGCTTCAACTACAGGGAGTGCAGAATTATTAGGCAAGTTGTATTTTTGAGGATTAATTTTATTATTGAACAACAACCATGTTCTCAATGAACCCAAAAAACTCATTAATATCAAAGCTGAATATTTTTGGAAGTAGTTTTTAGTTTGTTTTTAGTTATAGCTATGTTAGGGGGATATCTGTGTGTGCAGGTGACTATTACTGTGCATAATTATTAGGCAACTTAACAAAAAACAAATATATACCCATTTCAATTATTTATTATTACCAGTGAAACCAATATAACATCTCAACATTCACAAATATACATTTCTGACATTCAAAAACAAAACAAAAACAAATCAGTGACCAATATAGCCACCTTTCTTTGCAAGGACACTCAAAAGCCTGCCATCCATGGATTCTGTCAGTGTTTTGATCTGTTCACCATCAACATTGCGTGCAGCAGCAACCACAGCCTCCCAGACACTGTTCAGAGAGGTGTACTGTTTTCCCTCCTTGTAAATCTCACATTTGATGATGGACCACAGGTTCTCAATGGGGTTCAGATCAGGTGAACAAGGAGGCCATGTCATTAGATTTTCTTCTTTTATACCCTTTCTTGCCAGCCACGCTGTGGAGTACTTGGACGCGTGTGATGGAGCATTGTCCTGCATGAAAATCATGTTTTTCTTGAAGAATGCAGACTTCTTCCTGTACCACTGCTTGAAGAAGGTGTCTTCCAGGAACTGGCAGTAGGACTGGGAGTTGAGCTTGACTCCATCCTCAACCCGAAAAGGCCCCACAAGCTCATCTTTGATGATACCAGACCAAACCAGTACTCCACCTCCACCTTGCTGGCGTCTGAGTCGGACTGGAGCTCTCTGCCCTTTACCAATCCAGCCACGGGCCCATCCATCTGGCCCATCAAGACTCACTCTCATTTCATCAGTCCATAAAACCTTAGAAAAATCAGTCTTGAGATATTTCTTGGCCCAGTCTTGACGTTTCAGCTTGTGTGTCTTGTTCAGTGGTGGTCGTCTTTCAGCCTTTCTTACCTTGGCCATGTCTCTGAGTATTGCACACCTTGTGCTTTTGGGCACTCCAGTGATGTTGCAGCTCTGAAATATGGCCAAACTGGTGGCAAGTGGCATCGTGGCAGCTGCACGCTTGACTTTTCTCAGTTCATGGGCAGTTATTTTGCGCCTTGGTTTTTCCACACGCTTCTTGCGACCCTGTTGACTATTTTGAATGAAACGCTTGATTGTTCGATGATCACGCTTCAGAAGCTTTGCAATTTTAAGAGTGCTGCATCCCTCTGCAAGATATCTCACTATTTTTGACTTTTCTGAGCCTGTCAAGTCCTTCTTTTGACCCATTTTGCCAAAGGAAAGGAAGTTGCCTAATAATTATGCACACCTGATATAGGGTGTTGATGTCATTAGACCACACCCCTTCTCATTACAGAGATGCACATCACCTAATATGCTTAATTGGTAGTAGGCTTTCGAGCCTATACAGCTTGGAGTAAGACAACATGCATAAAGAGGATGATGTGGTCAAAATACTCATTTGCCTAATAATTCTGCACTCCCTGTATAAATACACATTTATTATACACAGCTAGATTTAGTACAATCTGATGCAGTTTACATTGGCAGTGCATCGAACAGCAAAAATGATATTCAGTTAGTATCATGCTGTAAACAATTAGTAACGGATTCTGACAGGACTATGAACATTCTTTAGGATATCTTACAAACCTCAAATGCTATTTGCTGTACATTGAATGACTGTAGTTTCATGGACTGAATAAATGCCCTTTTACTGGTGTAAATGTTATGTTTATAAGGTGGTTAATCCCTTTAATGCTACCCAGTGGTCAAGATATGCTCAGTTTTCTATCAAAAGTGCCTCTAAACATCTAGGATGTTCTATATACAGTGAGGGGAAAAGTATTTGATCTTTTGCTGATTTTGAATGTTTGACCACTGACAAAAAAATGATCAGTCTATAATTTTAATTGTAAGTGTATTTTAACAGTGAGAGACAGAATAAAAAAAAAAAAAGAAGAAAATCCGGAAAAACAATTGTCAAAAAAGTTATAAATTGATTTGCATGTCAATGAGTGAAATAAGTATTTGACCCCTTTCAACTTAGTACTTGGTGGAAAAACCCATTGTTGGCAATCACAGAGGTCAAACGTTTCTTGTAGTTGACCACCAGGTTTGCACACATTTTAGCAGGGATTTTGTCCCACTCCTCTTTGCAGGTCCTCTCCAAGTCCTTAAGGTTTTGAGGCTGGCTCAAACCTTCATCTCCCTCCGCAGATTTTCTATGGGATTAAGGTCTGTAGACGGGGTAAGCAACTCCAGGACCTTAATGTGCTTCTTCTTGAGTCAATCCTTTGTTGCCTTGGCTGTGTGTTTTGGGTCATTGTCATGCTGGAATATCCATCCATGACACATTTTCAATGCCCTGGCTGAGGGAAGGAGGTTCTCACCCGAGATTCGACGGTACATGGCCCCATCAATCGTGCCTTTGATGCGGTGCAGTTGTCCTGTCCCCTTAGCAGAAAAACACCCCCACAGCATAATCTTTCCACCTTCATGTTTGACAGTGGGGATGGTGTTCTTGGGGTCATAGACAACATTTCTCCTTCTCCAAACACGGAGTTGAGTTGATGCTAAACAGCTCGATTTTGGTCTCATCTGACCACAACACTTTCACCCAGTTCTCCTCTGAATCATTCAGATGTTCACTGGCAAACTTCAGAAGGGCCTGGACATGTGCTTTCTTAAGTAGGAGGACCTTGCGTGCGCTTCAGGATTTTAGTCCTTTACGGCGTAGTGTGTTACCAATTGTTTTCTTGGTGACTATAGTCCGAGGTGCCTTGAGATCATTAACAAGATCCTCCCGTGTAGTTCTGGGATGATTCCTCACCGCTCTCATGATCATTGAAACTCCACGAGGTGAGATCTTGCATGGAGCACCAGACTGAGGGAGACTGACGGTTATTTTGTGTTTCTTCCATTTGCAAATAATCACACCAAGCTGCTTGGCAATGGTCTTGTAGCCCATTCCAACCTTGTGTAGGTCTACAATCTTGTCCCTCAGATAAATACATATAGGTAATGGAAGTGCACTCAACCCCTTGTCGTGGAATCCGGGGTGCTCCAATGGACAAGTCCAAGTACCAAAGTGGACCAAATGCAAAATTGTTAAATATAGAAAGTAATCCAGGCACTCCAACAAATTCCCAAATACAGGCAATTTTATTAGAACCAGGAACTACACAGCAACGTTTTGACCCCTTAGGGCCTTTATCAAGCTTGGATTACTTTCTATATTTTACAATCTTGTCCCTGACATACTTGGACAGCTCTTTGGTCTTGGCAATGGTGGAGAGTTTGGAATCTGATTGATTGCTTCTGTGGACAGGTGTCTTTTATACAGGTAATGAGCTGAGATTAGAAGCACTCCGTTTAAGATAGTGCTCCTAATCTCAGCTCGTTACCTGTATAAAAGAGACCTGGGAGCCAGAAATCTTGCTATTTGATAGGGGATCAAATACTTATTTCACTCACTGACATGCAAATCAATTTATAACTTTTTTGATATGAGTTTTTCTGGAATTGTTTTTTTTTGTTATTATGTATGGCAAACTTTCAAAATCAAAATCAGCAAGGGATCAAATACTTTTTCCCTCACTGTATGCAACCCCAACACCCTAATGTTATTGATATCCTGCTTAATTTTCAATAAAATGCTGGAGACAAAATATTGCCTCTAAAATGGTTTAAACTTATGTTAACTTTTTTTATTTTTTATTTACTGGGTGGTACCATATGACTTGGGGGCCCCTCGCCATCCAGGGGCCTATTCAGGTGTTAAACCTCTGCATGTGTATTTCTATGACAAGTTGCTGAATTGTGAGGAAAGCCATTCTAGAACTGGACCATATCTTAGGTGGGCTTATCTTTTAAGCCCAGAATTTTAATATTACCTCTATGAAAAAGGTGTTTTTTACTTCTATTTCTAAACAATCTTTGCTCTATGTAGATAACATTACCTGATATATATCAGTGAATGTAAGAAAAGAGATTTCCTGGCAGCATTCAACCCGTTGTCATAGCAGAATTTAAAAAAACAGTGATGCTTGCAATAACAATACATAGAGTGAAATAAGTAACATGTACACAACATAGCTATAATAATTTGTAATTATCACTCAGGTTTGGTTAGTGTTGCTACATCCACCACATTATTTAAGACATATAGACTACCGATATATGTAGAATTCATGTACTGATTGATTAAGGACCTGATCTCCTTCCTGCACCATTTGAATTATAAATATCACAGGGCAATGCTTTTACTATGCTGCCCAGCAATATGTAGAAATTATATGGGTCCAGAAAAACATGTTGAATATTTAAACTGATGTGTAAAATATTACAAAAAAACAATAGGGGGTGGAGATAACCAACAATACAAGCCGCTGTTGGCTCCACTGCACTAACATAAACATAAACAACAACCTTGCGGTTTCAGGGTTTTCAGCTCTCTGTTTCCACTCACAGAAATAAAACACAATCTCTTCCCTCCTTTGGCAGGGGAGTACTTAATAGCACCTGTAATTAACAATCCTTTTCAGGTGAGGTAAATTAGGATTGAAACTCTGGAACTGGACTTCTCAACTGTAGGTTCCAAGCAACTTCCAAAATGTGGAGTGGAGCACTGGCCCACCCTACTCTCCAAGTGCTCCACCCCAGGGCCCAGATATACACATATTTAAAGTGCAATATTCATTTTAACATAACACATTTCCCTGGGGCTAATTACACAAAGTAGGAACCTTGCAAAATCTGGGGAGATATATAGATTCCCTCCAGCACAATTCCTTGCTTTCGGTCACACATCCTCCCCCCAAGCTCAGACCTATTGGGTCGAGCGACCATGGACATTAGCGAGTGCATCCGTGAAAGACCATCTGCATTTCCCTGTTTACACCCAGCCCTATGCTCTATGGAGAAATTATAGGGTTGCAAGCTAAGGAACCAGTGGGTCACTCTACTATTTTTCTCCCTGTTTTGGCTCATCCAAGTAAGGGGTGCATGGTCTGTCACTAGTCTGAATTTTCATCCAAAGAGATAGTATTAAAGTGTGTCTACTGCCCACTTTATAGCCAGACACTCCTTCTCAACAATGGAATAGTTTATTTCTTGGGGTTTAAGCTTCCTGCTTAAATATAATATGGGGTGCTCCTCACCCTGAATTTCCTGAGAGAGAACGGCACCAAGCCTTACATCAGATGCATCTGTCTGTAAAATAAATTCTTTAGAAAAATCAGGTGTTACCAACACTGGTTGGGCACAAATGGCTTCTTTAAGCTTCCTGAATGCATGTTCAGTCTCTTGGGGACCATTTTACCACTACTGGGGCATTAGCTTTAGGAAGGTCAGTTAATGGGCTTCCAATTGTAGCAAAATTGGAAATAAATCTCCTGTAATACCCAATGAGGCCAAGAAATGTTCTCACCTGTTTCTTAGTCAGTGGTATTGGCCAATTTCGTATGGCTTCAATTTTAGCAACTTGGGGTTTCACTAGTCCCCTACCAATAGAGTAGCCCAAATATTTTGCTTCCTCTAGGCCAATCGTACACTTACTGGGGTTAGGCCAGCATTTTGTATTGAGTTAAGGACAGCCTGTACTTTTGGAAGGTGAGATTCCCAATCCTCACTGTGTACTACAACATCATCCAAGTACGCAGCTGCATACTTACGTTACTGCATCTGAGTTATGTGTTCTATTACACTGTGATGTGGGTTAGCTTCTTGTTCCCAAATTTCCTTCGCTATGTCAAGTAATACCCTGGGGTGTCTGCCATATAATAAATTCAAAAGGTGAGAAACCCGTAGAAGCTTGGGGTACTTCTCTAATGGCAAACATTAAATAGGGCAATAAAAAGTCCCAGTTTTTACCATCTTTATCAGTTACTTTCCGCAGCATAGCTTTTAAAGTTTATTAAATCGCTAAACCAAACCATTGGTTTGTGGGTGATAAACAGAGGTTTTGAGGTGTTTAATGTGAAGGAGCTTGCAGAGTTCCTTTGTAACCTTGGACATGAATGGAGTACCCTGACCTGATAGGATCTCCTTGGGAATCCCAACCCGCCTAAACATCATCATTAACTCTTTAGCAATGGACTTTGCGGAGGTTGTACACATAGGTATTGCCTCAGGGTAACGGGTAGCATAGTCTAGTACTACTAATATATACTGATGCCCCCTAGTGGATTTTACCAGAGAACCTACAAAATCCATAGCAATACGTTCAAAAGGCACTTCAATAACAGGCAGGGGTACTAAAGGGCTACGGTAAGCCGTAAAGGGCGCAGTGACCTGACATTCAGGGCATGACGAACAGTAGTTTTTGATAGCTGCGATTACTCCAGGCCAATAAAATCTCCTCAAAACTCGCTCTCTTGTTTTGTGAACCCCTAGATGGCCACCCAAAACATGGCTATGTGCAAGGTTTAACACAGTACGCCAATAGGCTTGTGGTACTAACAGTTGCTTTGTAATAACGGACTCTTTTTTCTCAACTATGTACAACAGATCATTATCCACTTCAAAATAAGGGTAAGTAAGAGAATTCACTGGATTGACAGGGGATCCATTCCTTATAGAAATATTATTCCTGGTTACCAATAATGTTGGGTCAGACCACTGTGCACTTCTGAAGTTACCAGGCCTAACCTCTAAATCCATTAACTCTATTTCTGGTTCAGAGCTTCTAGAAGGTCCCACATTAGTTTGTTCTGGCTTTTCACCAACTAATGTTTTTATAGGGGAGTGCTGCATATTGTTAGGCCCATCATCATGATCTCTCTCGTCTGCCAGAGTATCTGCAAAAGGAAATTCATCATTCTGTTCACCTGATGGGTTTTCAAAACAGGCCCATAGGTCTAGAAAATGGGGAAAATCCCTTCCAATAATCATCTCATGTGCCAGTTTGGGTACCAGCCCCACTCTGCAGTTTACAGTACCACACTGGGTCTTAACAAGTATATCTGCAGTAGGGTAGTTATGTATATCCCCGTGCACACAAGCAATATCAACTTTTTCAGAGTTAACAATATGAGTATCCTGTAATAAGGATTGGTCTAGAAGGGTAACCATACTCCCTGAATTTAGCAATGCCTGTATATTTTTTCCCTCCACATTCACGGTACACCCAGGGTGACTATTCAAATAACCATTTTTTTCCGCAGAACATACAACCTGTGACTAAAGTGCAATTCCTTCCCAATTATTACCAAAATTACACTCCATTGGTTCAACATTTTCAGGACAGTCTTTTTCTCCAGACTTTGCTGTGTGTTGCCCGCATCCTCCACCTTATGTGACACACAGTCTTTTCAGGCTTTACAGACACTTCACATGCTGGATGAGGTAAAATGACTTGCTCTTTTTATTGTGGTTCCAAAATAGATGCACAGTAAGGTATAAAAGGTTGTAACAAAATATATAAAACAAAATCCTTGCTCTTCTGAGCACTAACTAAACAAAATAATTAGCTAACTGGGTTGGATGGCTTGTCCATTTCCCAACATAAACATAAACAACAACCTTACTGTTTCAGGGATTTCAGCTCTCTGTTTCCACTCACAGAAATCAAACACAATCTCTTCCCTCCTTTGGCAGGGGAGTACATAATAGCACCTGTAATTAACCCCTTAAGGACGGAGCCAAATGTACACGTTGTGAACGAAACAAAATGTAAACAAAACCTGGCATTTGCGCTACATGTCTGTCCAACCGTAATTCACTTCTTTCATAGTAAATGCACCCACCCTTATTATATATCATTTTATTCAGGGGAAACAGGGCTTTCATTTAATATCAAATATCTAGCTGTGAAACATAATTTAATATGAAAAGAATTGGAGAAAATAAGATTTTTTTTAATATTTTTAGTTCTACATGACATTTTAACTGTCAATGTCTTAATACTGTTTGCTTTTACTGCAATAAAATACACATATTTGTATTCAGCAAAGTCTTACGTGTAAAACAGTACCCCCTATGTACAGGTTTTATGGCGTTTTGGGAAGTTACAGGGTCAAATATAGCACGTTACATTTGAAATTGAAATTCGCCAGATTGGTTACGTTGCCTTTGGGACTTTATAGTAGCCCAGGAATTAAATTTACACCCATAATGGCATACCATTTGCAATAGTAGACAACCCAAGGTATTGCAAATGGGGTATGTCCAGTCTTTTTTAGTAGCCATTTGGTCACAAACACTGGCCAAAGTTAGCGTTAGTATTTGTTTGTGTGAAAAATGCAAAAACCGCCAATTTTGGCCAGTGTTTGTGACTAAGTGGCTACTAAAAAAGACTGGACATACCCCGTTTGCAATACCTTGGGTTGTCTACTATTGCAAATGGTATGCCATCATAGGGGTAATTTTCATTCTTGGGCTACCATAGGGTCTCAAAGGCACCGTAACCAATCTGGCGAATTTTAATGTGAAAAAAATGAAACGCAAGCCTTATATTTGACGCTGTAACTTTTGAAAACATCATAAAACCTGTACATGAGGGGTACTGTTGTACTCGGGAGACTTCGCTGAATACAAATATTTGTGTTTCAAAACAGCAAAAAGTATCACAGCAATAATATCATCCGTGTAAGTGCTGTTTGTGCATGAAAAAGGCAAACAACTGCACTTTTACTGGCGATATCTTCGTTGTAATACATTTTACTGTTTTGAAACACTAATATTTGTGTTCAGCGAAGTCTCCCGAGTAGAACAGTACCCCCCCCATGTACAGGTTTTATGGTGTCTTGGAAAGTTATAGGGTTAAATATAGTGCTAGCAAATTAAATTTCCTTTTACCCGGCATGGGTTGTCAGGCAGGTCCCGCTAATTGTAATTCATTAAGATACCTAATTATGTAAAAATATTACATAAATATATATGTAGAATTAATATATGTATATATATACACGTGTGTGAATCTATATGTGTATATATATATAATTTTTTTTAAATATTTTTATTTATATATAGGTATATATAAAATGATATATACGTATATATTTATGTATGTAGATATATATATTATTTCATTCTACATGTATTTTGATATAAATATATATATATTAATATCACAATACAGTTAGAACGAAATAACACATCTATATATTTTTTTATAATTTTTTTTAAATAATTTTTTTAATTTTATTTTTTAACGTATTTACATATTTAATTTTTTTATATTATATATAAATATATATATAATAATAATTATATATATATTTAATCAGTATCAGTCTACGTGTAATTTGATATATATATATATATATGTATATATATATATATATAAAATTATATATATATATATATATATTAATAGTAAAATACACCTAGACAGTGTATGTATAGGTGTATATATATACTTAGATCATATATATATGATATATATATATATATATATGATCTAAGTATATATATATATATATATACTTAGATCATATATATATGATATATATATATATATATTTTATTTTTTTTATTTTTTTATACACTTAATTAATTTATTTTATTTTTATTTTCAGCCAGCAGGGGGACCACCTGTCATTACAGGCAGCCCCCCTGCTGGCAATACAGCAGGCAGCCTACCCGGCCATGTGATTGTGAGGTCCTCGCAAGGACCTCACTCTCACATGGCCGGGGGGGCTTCCAGGGGGTCGGACGTGCCGCGGGGGCTCCCTGGGAGTCCCCCCCACCGCGATCGCCGGCGTGGGACCACCGGCGACCGGGTAAGTAAAGAAAGACCGGAGGGCATACAATTACGCCCGGCGGCGTTTAGAGCCGCTTAAAATAGGGTGTAATTGTACGCCCTCCGGTCTTAAGGGGTTAACAATTCTTTTCAGGTGAGGTAAATTAGGATTGATACTCTGGAACTGGACTTCCCATCTGTAGGTTCCAAGCAACTTTCAAAATGTGGAGTGGAGCACTGGCCCACCCTACTCTCCAAGTGCTCCACCCCAGGGCCCAAATATACACATATTTAAAGTGCAATATTCATTTTAACATAACACATTTCCCTGGGGCTAATTAGACAAAGTAAAAAACCTTGCAAAATCTGGGGAGATATATAGATTCCCTCCAGCACAATTCCTTGCTTTCGGTCAGAACACCAATGAATACATGCATGAAAAAATATTTACTTTCTCCCTAAACCAACAGAATACACATTATCCATGTGATGAAAGTTAACCGGTGTTATATACATCTTATAATCAGAAACTTATTTTAGCCTATGTCAACCAGGGAGGAAGCAGAGACAGAATGGCAAAATTCCAGATTTTTCTTTTTATTCAGCGGGGACTGGCCAAAGAAGGGCTACTCCAACAAGCCACATCACTAGAGAAGCATTGGACAGTTTTCAATATACAAAGTGTCAGCGCTTCAAGTAGTCTTACATTTACTTCTTCAAAAAGGGAAAAGTATGACAAAATATTATTGTAGGTATAGTCTTAATTCACCTCCACAGTGGTGAATATACATTGACCAAATAGGTAAATATATTTCTGGTATTATGATCAGAAATAAAATGGTGTCGAGAATCCACAGTTAAGTATTGCAGTAATGTCTTTGCAAGAATTACTTCAAGTGAGATAAAAATCAGAGTTTATTTATCAAGTAGTTAAAAAGAAAAATCCTTGTGAATAAAGATTGAAATAACAAAAGTGGTATAAAATATAATGATAACCACTAGTAAGTCCAGTACATGCAGTTAAGCAGTGAGTGGGTGAAAAAGTTTTACTCTTCCGTTGGAGCAACTGGAACAGTGTGAAATCCTTTCTTTAAGCCGCCAAAGTTGGGGTAGAATCGGAGCAGAACCGGAGGGACGCCGTTGCCTCAAACCGCTAGAAATGTACTGCTGCTACCGGAGAGAAACAGATGAATGGAAGCTTGATCCTCAGCTCATCAACGCGTTTCACCCGTGCTTGGCGGGCTTTTTCAAGATAGTGAGGAGTCCTATCATAGTATATATACCCTGGAGAATTATGCTGCCTGTCTGGATTACTTAAAGGCACATGCATCCTTCTGTGGCAGGACTTTTCATGTGTAAGCCATCACTTCACCTAAATTAGATAGTGCATCTATAGATTCAAGAGTGCATACATCAATATAAGTTATTTGTATATATACATACAGTTGCAAGAAAAAGTATGTGAACCCTTTGGATTGATATGGATTTCTACACAAATTAGTCATAAAATGTGATCTGATCATCATCTAAGTCACAACAACAGACAATTCAATAAAAACATGGCAACATTTCATTCTTTGTGTGTTATTAGTTTAAGCAGACTGTGATTGTCTATTGTTGTGACTTAGATAATGATCAGATCCCATTTTATGACCAATTTGTGCAGAAATCCATATCATTCCAAAGCGTTCACATACTTTTTCTTGCAACTATATATATATATATATGTGTTTGTGTATGTATAAAGTGTGTGTATACATGCATACATGTGTGTATATGTGAATAGGTGTATGTGTACATATACAAGGGTCACATTTATACATGTGTATGTACATGTATTGGTGCTTGTGTGTGGATGTATGTATAGGTGTGCATGTACATATATTTGTGCATTTGGTTGCATTTAAATGTATATTGTTGTATGTACTTGTGTATATTGTGTATGTACTTGTGTATACTTGTACATATACACTTCTTGTGTAGATGTATATGTACATGTGTGTGAGTCTGTGTATGCTGGATATAGGCCATCAGGCATATCCTGTAACTCTTGGATGGGAATTTCTGCATTCTTAATATAAGTAATTATTTTTTTACTCTCTCCTTCTAGCACCATCTTCTGTACTGTTTGCTTGTTTTTTTTCCCTTTCTTCCCCCTCACTCTGATCTTCACACAAGATATTTATGACCCTCTTTGAGAATGATGTCTATTTTCTATTAAACCTGTGTCTTATCTGCACTTATGTCGCTTTAACCCCTGTATCACAACTCAACTTTAAATTCTATGTGTCGTCTTGCTCAGAAATGCTGTAGACTTGCGAAAGGGAGGTTCTCCCGAAAGCTTGTCATTAAAATAAGCTGATTTCTATGGATATTGTGGGTCCCATTTAGTGTGTTTATTATTCTCCTCATTTTTCCTCCTTTCCTCTTAATTTTTTCACTAGAGAGACTGAGGATATCTGTGGATATTTGTATTATTAAGTATATTTTGTGGGTTTTGTTTTTTCTGTTGGCTTTTACATGAAGACTGGTGCCCTAAATATCAACTTTACTTTTTTGTTTTATTGTTATTTATATGTAATCCACTTGATTATTATCAGATTTTTATGTGTCATCTAATTTTATCACATGGCAGAACGCTTCATATTTGCTTAAGTCTCTCTTACTACAACTAATAGCAGCAACTAATCAGAAACAAACAGAGCAATAAGTCTTCCCTCCCCTTTTAACACTTCCTCTTTCTTTGCTGCTCCTCACCAGCACAGGTCAGAGTACCACTGTGGGTTGCTGTGGGTTTGTGATTTACTTGCAGTTTATGATGAATGTTTTGCTTGTCACTTTGTATACCTTGTAGTTTCCTTTGCCTAGCTTATATACATATCTGTTGTTTTATTATTTTCCTTATTTTTCTGTTTTCCTCTGACAGGCATTTGGGGCTTACTGCATTCTTTTGTCATTTGTTTGTAAACTTGTGTTTCTTCTGCTGCTCTGGTCCATGTAAGGCTCCCTCGGGCTGCCTTCCCTGGCCTTCCTGAGCCATAGGACCGCGGTGAATGTCTCTGCCGGTTGCACAAGCGCTAGCAGCGGCCATCTTTGATCTCGCGGCAATAGCGCAAGATCCTGGCAGCCATCTTAACGGTTTGCCGCGCATGGCTCTCCCGAGGCCAGGGCCTGTCCACTTCTAAATATTTGTATAATTGCGGTTTGCAGGCACCCCGGGGGGAGAGTGGGGAAATCCCACCTGATACATTGTTATTTGTTTCCTTCATAGTCCGACACGCTCAGGGTGCAGAAGGGGAAGGTTGTGCTTTACTGCCTCTCATATCAGACCACTCACATAGAAACATAGAAACATAGAATGTGACGGCAGATAAGAACCATTCGGCCCATCTAGTCTGCCCAATTTTCTAAATACTTTCATTAGTCCCTGGTCTTATCTTATAGTTAGGATAGCCTTATGCCTATCCCACGCATGCTTAAACTCCTTTACTGTCAGAGGGCTGTCCTCCTGTTTTATTTGCAGTCTGCCCCACATGGTTAGTGGCTTGGCCCCAGTAAATAAATAACTTCTCTATCCATTCTATACTTAGACACTGCTGGTGTCCTTGAGGCTATATCTATATCTATTGTTTGCCATTATAGAGGGTGAACCCTCTATAATGGCATTTGACTCCTTACTGGGTTTGTTCCCTTCCAAGGGTGACCCCTATTTACAACTATATGCCCCACTGCCCTGTGGCTCCTTAACGCATTGCTGAGGGGTGAGCCCCCTACTTACACCAAGAGGTGCCTAACATAACGTTGATTACTGCGCATCTATGATTGGTGCATTGACTAGCTGTCGTACTATACAGGGCCTAATACTGGCCCGCTTTGTCTGTACCCACTCCTACCCCATAAGGTACATTCCCTGGGGCTACCACCCAGTTCTATTACGTATCTTGGGGCCGCTGGCCAGGATATTATTGTTGGGTGACAATGCTATTTCTCAGGGCACCACCCTGGATCTGTCCTCCATACGGTATTGGGCATTGTGCTCCATCTGCCTGCTGGGCAACTCTAACGTGGCACTTTGCACAGAGCGGCAAAGAATTAGGGCCATCAGCAAACGGCCTGCTATTTGGAGAACCATTCATCATGGAACTCCACAAGCACTCCAATCTATATGCAACCCTCAACAAGGCTCAGTCCTCTATGAGGAGGGTATTCCACATGACAACCCCACAGGTTTTTGGCAGGGCTGGCAGACAACGGGGTCGTGTCGTCAGCTGATTCTGGTCGTCAGGCCATCGAAGGTCCCATGCATCCTCCTTCTCCCCCAACTACTCAACCAGATCCTTCCACACGCAGAGATCGGAACATGGTTGAGGGAGCCGCGCCCACGGCAGAGCCAGAATGCCCACAGGTGAGCAGTGTTATTATTTGCCATTCAAAACTGTTACATGCTGGCAGACTGTCTCACTGTCTTGACAGGTTTAAACTCTGTCTTCAGACGCCTAGATTCTTCAGACAGTCCAGGGTTATGTGATTGAGTTTCATACGCCCTCACGGCAAGACTCGTTACTGCCGACGCTAATCTCATTCTACCTGGTATACGCCGAGATCCAAGCGCTCTTCGAGAAAGGTGTGGTACAATGGGCCCAGGATGACAGCAGTTTCAACAGCTCCATCTTCCTCGTCAGGAAGAAATTGGGAGACTTCCGCCCCGTCAAAAACCTATGACGCTTAAATGATTTCGTTGTATACTGGCACTTCAAGATGGAGGGCATCCATCTACTCCATGACCTCTTCTACCCAGGAGATAGGTTCACCAGCGTAGACTTGAAGGATGTGTACCTATCCATACCGGTGGATCCTGTCAGCCGCCATTTCCTCCATTTCTACTGGAAAGGTTGTCCTTGCATATTTACGTGCCTCCCTTTCGGCCTCAGCTCTGCCCTATGGTGTTTTACCAAACTGCTAAAGCCAGTGACCGCCCATCTACGCTCCAGGGGTGTAGAATGCCTCATTTACCTGGATGACTTGCTGATGTTTTGCGAAGAGGCCTCCAGGCTTAGATCTCAGATGCACTTGGCAATCTCCTTTATCGAATCCCTGTGCTTCATGGTAAACCTGGAGAAGTCGGCCCTCACCCCGTCTAACATTGTGCAGTTCTTGGGGTTCGAAGTAGACAATGAATGTGTCCTATGCCTCCCGCAGCCCAAGATCTCCGCGATCCGGAAGGAACTTCAGAGAATCCTACGTCTCAACCGGATTCCCCTCCGCATGCTTGCACGGGTAGTAGGTCTCCTATAAACGTCTATTCAGGCTATCTACCCGGGTCCCCTACACTATCGGGCCATGCAATGCCTGAAGGCCCAGTCCCTGCATATGAGACGGCCATACGACAAGCTGATTCCACTCACCCCAGAAGTCAAGTTTGAACTCAGGTGGTGGTTGCTCCACTAGACAGCATGGAATGGTAAAGCTATATTCGGCCCGACACTGGACTTTGTCATGAAGTCAGACGTGAATCTCTGGGGATGGGGAGCCACCTGTCCGACAGCTTCCACCGGGGCTCGTGGACAATAGCGGAAACCGTTTATCACATCAATTGCCTGAAATTGACTGATTGCAGGCTCATTCACGCTTCTCAGCCTGGCGAGCCATCTCTTGGATTTCTGCATACTTCTGAGGATGGACAACGTCTCGGTGGTACAATACATCAACCGTCTGGGGGTTATGCCGGTCTCCTCCACTACCTTGGCACACTGGATCAGATGGCTGTTATCTCTGACAGGTGTGGATTCCTCATTTGGAGCACAGAGAGGCTGCGGCATCTGGAGTCTTGATGGCAGGTGCTTCCTTACAGGATATTCTACATTCGGCAGATTGGTTTCGGGAAGACACTTTCCACCGGTTTTATTTTCGTCCTTCTACCCATGCTGCGTTCGCCTTGCTGACAGTGTTAAAACAGCAAATATGAAGCCTCCTGTCATGTGATAAAAATGTGCTAACTTTAGTGTACCTATAATCTTAATTGTATTAATGACAGGAGGCAAATATTTCCCTCCCTTTAGTATCCCAACCCCTTTTGATTATTGTATGTTTCCTGGTAAGCTGAGGTGGGTATTTGTTAAGGTATACTCTCACCGTTCATCTTTGTTTGCTTCTCTTGCTTACATTTTTAATTCAAATGAGTTGTAAGGGGGTTGACTTCGTACTTTGTATCTGAGGGTGACATGTCTTTTCTGAGTACATTTCCTCAACTAATCTGTGGTTTTGATTCTGTTTTTTCTCGTTTCAGTATAAAGTTTGTTTATGGTGCCATATTTGATGGATTCCTAAGTTTCAAGGGGATCATCTAGATTCTAGGTTATCTTATTCTATTGGGTTAAAGTTCATCGTTGTTACTGTTTCCGATTTTGGTCGCAGCTCGAAAGAGAAAGTGTTAGAAGGGGAGGGGAGACTTATTGTTTGTTTGTTTCTGAATGGTTGATTTCTCTCTGTGAAAAAGTAGTGCTGTGAGTTGTAGTAAAGATAGACTTAACCCCCTTAAGGACCAAACTTCTGGAATAAAAGGGAATCATGACATGTCACACATGTCATGTGTCCTTAAGGGCTTAAACAAATATTCACCTCCTGTCATGGGGACAGTGACAATGAAATTAAGATTATAGGTATACTAAAGTTAGCAAATTCTGCAATTTCAATTGCACTTTTTGCCTAACCAACCAGTTTTATGTGGTATTAGATACTTTGTTTCTCTTGCTATTTTTTTTTTAAATAGTATTTTTTACTTGTTCTGGTATCTGATTAGGTATTTTTATGCTACTCTCCTTATTTATGTTTTATGTATTGACTTTACCTCAGTGAATCACCCTATGTTTCTTTTTGGTGAGTGGCATTATAACAGCATCTCCTAGAGTCCTTTATTATTTATTAATCAAACCTTTTCAATATTTTTAGGATATATAAATATATTTGATAGATTTCTGTACTCTTCTTTTTCATCCCATCTTGCTGGTGTGTTACTATTCTTTATGTTTTGTTGTGTATGTATTTATGTGAGTGTGTGATCTTATGTCTGTTTGCATGGGACTTTGCGTTACTGTGTGTATGCATGTATGTAACTTTCATAGGCGTGCGCAGCCTATTGCATTAGGGTGTGCACCCTAAAGCACAAGCACACGCCGCATATATATATGTATGTATGTATGTATATATATATATATACATACACATATATACACACATACACACACTGGTTTGTGTGTGTGTGTGCTGTGTGAGGGTGCTGTTAGTGTGATGTGTGTGTGTGACGGTGCTGATAGTGTGCTATGTGGGTAAGGGTGTTTGTGTGTGCGTGCTTGTGAGGATGCTGTTAATGTACTGTGTGTGAGGCTGCTGTTTGTGTGTGTGTGTGCGCTTGTGAGGGTGCTGTTAATGTACTGTGTGTGAGTGTGCTGTTTGTGTGTGAGGGTACTGGTAGTGTGCTGTGTGTGTGTGAGGGTGCTGTTTGTGTACTGTGTGTGAGGGTGCTGTGTGTGTTTGTGAGGGTGCTGTATGTGTGTTGGTGCTGTCTATGTCTGTGGGTGCTGTTTATGTCTGTGGGTGCTGTGCCTGTGGGTGCTGTGTCTGTGGGTGCTGTGTCTGTGGGTGCTGTGTCTGTGGGTGCTGAATGTCTGTGGGTGCTGAATGTCTGTGGGTGCTGAATGTCTGTGGGTGCTGAATGTCTGTGGGTGCTGTATGTATGTGGGTGCTGTATGTATGTGGGTGCTGTGTATGTCTGTGGGTGCTGTGTATGTCTGTGGGTGCTGTGTATGTCTGTGGGTGCTGTGTATGTCTGTGGGTGCTGTATGTGTGTGGGTGCAGTATGTGTGTGTGTGCTGTATGTCTGTGGGTGCTGTATGTCTGTGGGTGCTGAATGTGTGTGGGTGCTGAATGTGTGTGGGTGCTGTATGTCTGTGGGTGCCGAATTTGTGTGGGTGCTGTATGTCTGTGGGTGCTGTATGTCTGTGGGTGCTGTGTATGTCTGTGGGTGCTGTATGTGTGTGGGTGCTGTGTATGTCTGTGGGTGCTGAATGTGTGTGGGTGCTGTGTATGTCTGTGGGTGTTGTATGTGTGTGTGCTGTATGTGTGTGTGGGTGTTGTATGTATGTGTGTGTTGTATGTGTGTGGGGTGTGATTGTGGGGGTGGAGGTGGGGGTACATTACTTGCTATCCCCCCTCCCTTCTTACCTTTTGTAGGGAGGGGGGATCCTTGTTGCTGCTGATTCCATCCCTGGTGGTCCAGTGGAGAGTGAACTCTAGCCCCTGTGGGGCTAGAGTTCACTCTCGCGAGATTTGAGCGTTGCCGTGGCAATGCTTATATCTCGCGAGAGGAACCCGGCGGAGCTGCCGGCAATTGCTCCGCAGATCCTCTCCTGCCTCCTGCCTCCCTCCCTGCGTGTGGGTCAGTGGGGAGGGAGGCGCTCGGATAGCCCTGGCTCTGCATGAGCCCTGGCTCAGCAGGTCTCAATTTACATAGGCATGCTGCTGGGATTAGGGTGTGCCCAGGCACACCCGGCACACCCCGTGCGCACGCCTATGGTAACTTTATGATAGCATGTCAATCAGGGCCGGACTGGGAAAAAAATTAGGCCCGGGCATTTTTCAATCAGAGCGGCCCCCTAAGAAGAGGGCGGGGCCAGAGTGTGTGTGTTTTGTCATCACTAATGACAACACGCCCCCTCTCAAAGTGAGCATGTTGGTTCAATGCCCAGAGCCCTGCTGAAGAGCTCTGGCATTAGAAAAAGGCCCTGAATTTGTTCTGCGCAGCGCAAGCAAATGTAATAACATGCTTGTGCTGTGTTTGCTTTTAAATTGTCTCTGGTGTTTCCACAAGTGGGATACCAGAGGACAAAAGGGCCAGGAAAGTGCATGGTGCATATGTTTGGAGCCTGCTTGTGGGATTGCATGGGTGTAGAGAGTGGTGTGGTATTGTATAAATAGGTCAATTTAATTTGTGTTTGTGGTGTAATATGTGTGGCTAGGGGCTGTAGAGAGTGTGTGTATAGGGGGTATAGTTTTATAGGGGATGCAGCGAGTGTGTGCATACGGGCTGAAGTGTGTGTGTATAGGTGACGTAGTGTGTGTAGGGGTTGCAGAGAGGGTGTGTTTAGAGAATGTTGTATGTGTTTGCTGACAAGGAATGTAGTGTGTGTGTAGGAGATCTACTGTGTAAAGGACCCAGTGTGTGTGTGTGTGTGTGTATAGAGTGCATATAGAGTAAGGGATCTAGTGTGTATCTGGAGCGTAATGTGTGTAGTGGTGCAGTGTGAGGGGTGCATGTATATATATATTTGGACTTATTGTATGTGTGAGGGGCGCAGTGTGTGTATGTAAGAGGGGTGCTGTGTGTGAGGGTGGTTTTATCTGCTGTCACATTCTAGGTTTCTAATTTTCTTTGTCTGTTAACTCACTGAGGGTTATTTTATATATATATATATATATATATATATATATATATATATATGTGTGTGTGCTGTATGTGTGTCTCTGTGGGTGGGGGGCGCTGTGTGTGTCTGGGGGTGCTGTGTGTGTCTGGGGGTGCAGTGTGTGTAGTGTGTGCGCTGTGTGTGGGGGTGCTGTGTGTGTCTGGGGTGCTGTGTGTGTGTGTGTTTTGGGGGTGCTGTGTGTGTCTGGGGGCTGTGTGGGGGCTGTCTCTGTCTGGGGGTGCTGTGTGTGTCTGGGGGTGCTGTGTGTGTCTGGGGGCTGTGTGCTGTGCTGTGTCTGGGGGCTGTGTCTGGGGGGTGCTGTGGGGTACTGTGTGTGTCAGTGAATGTATTTTTTTATTTAAATTTAAATATATATTTTTTTAATAATAAAAAAAATAAAATAAAATAAAATTATCCCCCCCCCTCCCTTCTTACCTTTATCCTGGGAGGGGGGGGAGCCGTGCCGTTCTGCCTGGGGGGTGGGGAGCCGTTCTGCCATCCTTCCCTGGTGGTCCAGTGGTGAGAGTGAACTCTAGCCTGCAGGTTAGAGTTCACTCTCGCGAGATCTGAGCGTTGCTGTGGTAACCGCGGCAACGCTCAGAATCCCGCGAGAGGACCCGGCGGAGCTGCTTGTTAGAGCTCCGCCGGGTCCTCTCTCCTCCCTCCCTCCCCAGCCGGCGGCCGCATTTCCATGCCTCTGGGCTGGTGAGGGAGATCTTTGATCTCCCCACCGGCCCACGGAGGCACACAGCAGGGCCGGCACTCGGATAGCGCTGGCCCTGCAGGGGCCGGCCGGGGAGATCCTGTAATCTCCCTGCCGGCCTCGGCCCCACGGCCATCGCGGCCCACCGGGCATTTGCCCAGTATGCCCGATGGCCAGTCCGGGCCTGATGTCAATCCATGTATGCATGTGACTCTGTGTATGACTGTGTCTAGGAATGATTGTGACTCTATGTGTGATTGTGTGTCTATGTATGTAGGTGACTGATTTCTTGATTGTTTGTCTATATACACATGTGAATGTGCATGAATAGAAGTGTGTGTCTATGTTCGTGTTTGTGTGTGCCATTTTTTGTTTGTGAATGTTTGTGACTGTGTGTGTATGTTTGTATGAATGAATGAACGATAGTGTATCTATGTGTATTGCTAGTAATTTATATTTGTGTATGTGAAGACAGTAAGTATATGTGGAGTATATGCATTGACTGGTCTATAGTGGCCAAAACGTAAATACATAGTACTTGTAACACTGTTCCTGCAGAACCACACAAAGTGAAAAATTAGAAGCTGTCTGCCCAGGGCCGGCGCGTCCTACAGACGACTTAGGCAGTTGCCTAGGGTGCACTGGTCTGGGGGGTGCCAGATTTTAGTGACCGGTCAGAAGGGCAGTGCTCCCTCCTACCCGTCACTTAGTGTAGCGTGGCTCACTGAGCGAGCACTTCCTTTCAGTCCGGCCTGGTACAGGAAACAGAAGCTCCTGTACTGTGGTCCACACCACCTGGCCAAGCTACAGAGATAGGTAGGAGGCAGGCACAACAGGGAGGGAGGACCACGAAGAGGAGGGGAAGGACCACGAAGAGGAGGGGGAGGACCACTAAGGCGTTGGGGGAGAGGGATGACCACTAAGGTGTTTGGGGGGAAGACCACTAAGAGGTAAGGGGGGAGAACAACTATTTAGGAGGGTCCTTGGCATGTTGATCCTGTCTGGGAAGCCGGTTGTAACCTGTAAAGAAAAACTGAATATATATATATATTTATATATATGAAGAAAACACAAACAACTTTAATTGAATTGCTTTCCAAAACCTAAGTTTTATTTTAATTTACAGGTTAGTTATTTTATTCCCCCCTCACTATTTTTAGGGTGAGGGGGATAGGTAGGGGAGAACTCAGGGGTGGGGGCCAGGGGGGAGGACAGTAGGTCCCCCCCATTGTTATTTAGGGCCCCCACCCACCGCTCAGGGGTGAGGGCCAGGGGGGAGGACAGTAGGTCCCCCCTCAATGTTATGTAGGGCCCCCACCCGCTGCGCTGGGGTGGGGGCCAGAGAGGAGGACAGTAGGTCCCCCCTCATTCCTATGTAGGGCCCCTACCCGCCGCGCAGGGTGGGGACTGGGGGGGAGGACAGTAGGTCTCCCCCTCATTCTTATTTAGGGCCCCCACCCGCCGTGCAGGGTGGAGGCCGGGGTGGAGGACAGTAGGTACCCCCTCATTCTTATGTAGGGTCCTCACCCGCTGTGCAGGGGAAGGGGGGAGGACAGTAGGTCCCCCCCCCATTGTTCTGTAGGGCCCCCACCTGCCATGCAGGGGTGGGGGCCAGGGGGGAGGACAGTAGGTCCCCCCTCTCATTCTTATTTAGGGCCACCACCCACCTTGCAGGGGTGGGGGCCAGGGGAGAGGACAGTAGGTCCCCCCCTCATTGTTATTTAGGGCCCCTACCCACCACTCAGGGGTGGGGGCCAGGGGGGAGGACAATAGGTCCCCCCCCCTATTTTACTTTAGGGCCGTTCAGGGGTGGGGGCCAATGGGTTTTTATTTATTTTTAAAAAGGGGCATGTCTAGTAAACTGGCTGCTCACTGTTTACTAGACATGCCCCTACTCGCTGAATATACTAATACTAAGTAATCTTTACTTAGTATTAGTAAATGTGGCTGAAAGACCAATTTAGGTATATAGCTCCCTAATACCGTGCCGCCACAATGAATAGGATCAGAGTTTTATTCATTCAAATGAAATTGCGATACAAAGAAAGTCCCGAATTGCGTTCTAACATGAATGGAGAAACTGTTCTCATTCTGTTAGGACGCAATTCGGCAGCTTTGTCAAACGCTTGTTGATTAGCTATCCTGCAGCTGTTCAAAACGCGCCATTAAATCACCGAACACCGAACTCGAACTGTTACTGAAATGTCCGGGTTCGCGTTCGGGGTCAAAAAATCTTAATGTTCGGTACGAACCCGAACTTTACAGTTCGGGTTCGCTCAACTCTAATTGCAACGCCAATGTCGCTGGACCTGTTGGCTAAGTCCTTCCATGTGGGTCTTGGTGGTCTGTAGCTGATCATCTCAAGCTCTTTCCCTCTCCTCCACTCATTTGAGCTTCTGTTGGATAGTTACTAGCTTTTGTTGGGTCTCCTGGAGGTCAGTCTTATAAACTTTGCGCATATGTACGAGCAGCCATTTTATATGCCCCTTCACTGAGCGAGATGAGTCATCATCAGTATCTGCCTACCGGTAAGCTAAACTCTGTTGGGGTGAGGCAAGTAGCTCCTTATCCTCCAAGTATTCATCTGAGGCTTCCTTGTGGCAGGCACTATCTTTGGAGGCGCCAGCGATGTAGGCAGCTCGAAAGGGAGTCTAATATCTTGCAGTTTAGAAGGACTTGGTGGGTAAAACCTATGGTGCTTGCACTCCTTTATATCTCTTGGGGGGTGAGATTGTGTAGAGACTTCCATGGATTATGAGATCTATATATAATTGATATAATCTCGGAGTATATGCAGAGCTTCACTAGAAGACATCTTAGTCCCCAGACTCCTCTTTTTGACAAACTGATTTGAGTAATCTGCCATATCTAATCAAGTGTGGGGAAAGGAATGCCAAACCACCCAAACTATCAATGGTCTAGTGGTATGGTAGTCAACAAATTTCCAAAGGGTGTCACAAAAGTAAAACAATGGGTCTTTGGGAAATACACTTTGAGAAAATTGTACATTTTAAAGGCTATAAACCCCGGCATAAATGAAATGAAACTGAAGTTTTGTAAGAGAGCAGTGTGGGAGCACTTGTAGAAGTGAAGCATGAGATGAGCTGAATCCAAAATATTGGTGGTAGAGCAGTTAGTTAAAGTTTGTGTTAGACTGAGAAGAAACTAGCACAATGTAAAAAAAGGACAGTGCAAGGTATAATTATCTGGATATTAAGTAAGGACAAGGAAAGGCAGCCAATTAAAAGATGGACTGAATTATAACAATACTAAAAATGGAATACAACTGCAGCAAAAATAAAGAACATTAAAGCATTTAACAACATTTTCCTAGTTGATCAACAGATTTTTTATGAAAATAAAAAATAACTAGGGTGGGCATGTATCATCTTTTTGTAATCTGTTAAAAAAAACAACAAGATGATCACAACAAGCTGGTCTGGGGTAATAACAGTGTCAGATAAACTGACATTATTAAAGCTAAGTCTAGGGTTTGACCGGAACTTCCATTCCATTTAAAGACCATTTTTATACCTGTGCTGCACAAGTTCATATTAATTCCCCAAAGAGAGCTATACTGGAAAGATTCCTTTTCTAATTATCAATGTACAAATGTTTTTCCTTCTGCATAGAAATACTTTCTCAGAACTGTTTATGACTATTCTATCACCATATAACTATATCTTCCTCTGTTTTAATATGCCCATCTATATCATTCTACTGTGTTTTTACTGCTCAGTTCTTTTACATTATGTGTTTCTGGTATGTTTGCTGACTTGTTAAGTGTTTTTCTAAAAATAAATAAAGAATGAATTGCGTTTGGTAAGAATTAAATTTTTCTCAATGTACCTGTCAACGCAATAGCATAAATAAAAGTAAAATAATAAATATGCATCTGTATTATTCCACTTTGTTCTTGCTGTTAATAATAAAGACTAGTATTAATTGTGTCATGTAATAATTAAAATCATTTAAACTAATTTAAAATGAAACATGTTAACATCTATAAAGCAAATTTGAACCTCATTATACGAGACACACATCATGTTTATATGCATAGTTAATGTCAGGCAAAACATATTAACCCTTCCACTACCAAAAAAAATGTACAAATGTTTGTGAAAGATGTGCCACTGTATCCCAACATGGTATAAATACAAATGGCACCTGTAGCGGTGCTCCAACACCTAGCTTAGCTATCTCTGCTATTCCTTCCTCGAAGCTGAAAGAAGCAGTATAATAATCCAAGACACTTTCCCACCAGCAACTAGACGAAACATAGTTCTGGGAGTTCTAGGCAGGACAAAACTCAAGCGCCCCCTTCATCCCCTAGCCACCCCACCCTTCCCCCCTGCCCCGCCTTCTAAATACACACACATTCACTGACAGATACGGATACATTAGCTAACAGACATACACACACACTGACACACACACTCACACTAACAGACATACACTCACTCACTAACAGACACACACACTAACAGACCAACACACACACACTAACAGACACACACTCACTCACTAATTAGTGTACAGACACACACTCACACACTGAGATTGTGGATTTGGGGTTTTCATGAGCTGTAAGCCATAATCATCGCACTTATGACAAATCACGGCTTGAACTATCTTGCTTTGCATGTCATGCGTCTATCTCATATATTAGTTTCCCCTTTTACGTTGCATTACTGAAATAAATGAACTTTTGCACGATATTCTAATTTTTCGAGTATCACCTGTATATGGGGGAATTATAGGCTATGCAAGACAATTTCAGAATGCCTCATATGAAAAGGTCTGTACATGTGTTTTATTATTCTTCATGTTCTTATTCTGTATTGATTTTTTTCCTGTTTTTAAATAAGAATCAATGAGTGCTGCATTAACATAAGGGCTAATGAAGAATGAATCAGAATCCTAATTTGCATTTTTTGTTTTTAACTTTTTATATTTTTCCAGAATCCAGTTGAATACAAGAGTGGTAACCACAAAAAAACAAAAACAAAAAAAAAACAAATAAAGACAATTGATAAAAAAAAACGTTGTCACAGTCTTCTACCACCTTCTAGTGCCTTCTAGTGCAGGGCACATGGCACTAGAAGGTGGTAGAAGACTGTGACCACCTTTGGCTGCCCCAAGGCCAGTTTCCTCAATGTGCCCAATATATATATATATATATATATATATATATATATATATATATAGATAGATAGATAGAGAGAGAGAGAGAGAGCTTTGCGTATGTGATTGGATGGATGAATGTAAGTAGTTTGGCCTATGACTGTATGGTTTATATGACTAGTTACATGGTTGGATGGCAATAAGTGGAAGGTGGGTGGGTGTATGTTATGTGGTTAAGTGTATGAATGTGACAGGGTGAGCGGGTATGACTGGAAGGTGAGATGGACTATCTGACTGGGTGGAGAGAGGAATATTGTAATTGGTTGGGTGGCTGAATGGCAATGTGTATGTAGGAGCTTATTTGTGTGGAATATGTGTGCATATGAATGACAGGTGTATTTATGTAGAGTACTAGTGTGTGAACATAGAGGTGTGGTTTAATAGAGTGCCAGTGTGTGCATGCAGGAGCATATTTGTGATCAGTGATCGTATTTAAAACTTTGTCCTCCAAATTAACATCTGTACACTAATAAATTGCCCCACAACAAGTCATGCATTATTGCATGGTCTACTTTGAACAAATAAAGAGCTTCTTCAGAATATACTGAGACAATCAAAAAGTAAACATTTCTACCTCAAAGAAGTCAGCAATACATGAACTTGCCCCCCCCCCCATCCTTCACTTTATTCCACTTCTCCGTTATCTGGCGTATCAATCATTGTAATCTATTGTCCCAGTAGCATGTCCCTGAAGTCTACTGTGTCCATGAACAAAGTCCACTGGGTCCAGACTGCCAGGTCCCTTGTGTGTAACCCTCAGCACCAAACACCAACTTCTCAATAGAGAGTAATTATTCAATTCACTAGTACCATAGACTAAGGGGTGGGTGCACTTTTTTCAGGTAAGAGGTATAAGGCTTTAAGCCACATTTATTATGCATATAGTCATTGATTTTTTTTATATAACAGTTCACGGGTAGTTGTGTGGTGTAGTAGCATAGGCATCTGTCCCTAATTATCTCTCATGCCTTCTATTCATTTATCTCCCCTTCACATGTGTTCCTCTCCCCATCCCCCATTTATGCCCCGCTCCCCATAACTTTCCCTTTCTCCAATTGTTTCCCTCTTCTCATTACTCATTACTTCACTTGTTACCTTCTTCTTTTTCCATCCCTCTCTTGTTACCCCTTCCTTCCCCCATTTCTCACTTGTTCCCCTCTTTATCCCCATCCCTTATTTGCTGCATCGGGTGCCAGGCGAAAAGGGGAAAGAGCTATTCTCCTTCTTGCCTGAACATTCCCACTGTACAACCTCTCCTGAATGCTGCCCAAGGCCATGGCTTTGGTCGCCTAATGCGAAATCCGTCCCTTTGCATGTGTCAAATAAATCACGAGATGAGTTGGCAGGGAACCTGTAGGTGGGTTCTCCTGCTCACCTTGTAACTCAGTTCTAGACGTAGATTTCTATGTTGAGAATTCATTGACTGAAATGGGACAGATTATATATATATATATATATATATATATATATATATATATATATTGAATGGGGCCCTTCAGTGAGTCTACTGAAAATGAGGGAGTTTATTGAAGTTGAGTGAGACTATTGAAAACTAATTATTGGCTAAAATAATGGAGTTAGAGCACCCATATCAAGTAGGGCAAGGTAGCCATTTCAAGTGCCTTTTCAAGGTCTAGGCTAATAAGGGAAGGATGAGCCGACTTTAACTCTTCCTAACCTGCCCTTGCCATAGCTGCCTGTGCAATCCTGACCCCCAGCACAGCATATCAGCTCTGAGCAAAATCCAGTTAATATGAGTAGACACAATGTCTGGAAGAAAGGACTGAAGTCTGTTGGCTATAATTTTGGTAAGTTTGATGTCTAAGTTAAGGAGGATGAAGGGTCCCTATCCGGCTTAGGAAGGGGGACTGTGCGGACTTGATTCAAGGTGTCTATTGGGAGACCTTCCAGATAAGGAGTTGTGAGAATAGGACAAATATGTTTTTTCAATAGTTTATAATATTTAGCCGTAACAGATAGCAGAGTTTGAATCCGGTACTTGGGTTGGCTATATGGTCAAGCAATTTCCCTGATGTTCCGCCTCACAGAAAGAAGTGTTGCATTTGAAAGTTGAGTTCGGATTGTGAATGGTTAGCAATAAATGTGGGTAGCATATGCTTCAATCTAGGTAATATTGCCAGAATGGGGCCTGAGAGATATGGTGTGTTCAAGTGTTTGAGGTCATGATATAGGACATGAAAATCTTGAAGCCATTTTTTTATTTTGGTAGAGGCAGTTTAAGAGATTGAGTCCCTGCATGACAATCTTGGACATCACCCAGAGCAACTTGGGGTCAGAAGCATTTTCTATTTCATTATCAATAAAGTTTGAAAAGACTGTTGATTAGATAAGTGTGCTGGGAAATGCCAATGTCTTGTGAACTGGGGGGAGGGCAAAGCTGCTACTGTTAGAGTAATTAGGTTGTGATCTGAAATACGAAAAAGTTCAATCATGGTTGTGGCAAGATAGGACAGGATGGTCAGTTGTCAGGGATATGTCCAGTCTGGAAAGAGAATCATATACTGCAGAATAGAAGGTGCAATCCCCTTCCCTGCCATGCAAAATTCTCCAAGGTTCTTGAAGGTTATGGGAGGCGGCAAAGTGAAAGAGTTGGTGGTCATTGTCAGGAGTAGTGGTGGGACCTCTCAGGGATCTGTCATTAGAAGGGTCGAGGACAGCCTTAAAGTCAACTCCAGAAATGTGCAGGTTTTAGCTCTATTTGAGACAATAACAAGAAGAGCTTTGCATAATATGGAGCAGCCGTAGAATGCAATAACAGACATCATCAATAGTTAGACAATAGGATGTACTGGCCTTCTTGGTCGATCTCACAGCTATGTAGCACATGGTGCAGAGCAGTATAAAAATAAATCGTCACTCCCTAAGCTGTCTGAAGTGAAAAATTCCTGTGAAAAAAAGCTGGGCAAATAATGAAACACCCTCAGCAACATGAGGGTTTATTATGTAGTGGCTGGTCACCGCTTGCTAGCCAGCTGCCACATGAAAATAGTAAAAATAAATAAATAAATACAAATCAATAGGACTTTCATATTGCTATAATGGCACCATAACCACTACAATATGATGTAGTGGTTTTGGTCCTTGAAGTGTTCTTTCACTGTAAAGAACTGCTCTGCTTACATAGTGCTCAAGCTCTAAGATATACAGACATACAGTTCAACCTTTCTTTTTCTGTTGTCATCTGTGCTGTAAATGAATCATTTATATATTTCATTTTAGTTTCTGTTTCTCTTTATATTCCCAGGTTCAATGCTCGCAGTTTGCGTTGGGCCCGAGCCATGATATTTGCAATTAATGAAATAAATCAACGCATTGACATTCTTCCAAGAATAACGCTAGGATATCAGATTTTTGATACATGTTTCACTATTTCAAAATCAGTCGAAGGCACACTGTCATTTCTTACAGGACAAAATGAAACCCATCCGAATTTCCGCTGTAGCGCTGGAGCTCCTCTTGCAGCTGTTATTGGAGCTGGGGGATCAGCTTTATCTATAGCAACCGCTAGAATCCTTGGACTTTACTATTTTCCTCAGGTAAAAGTTTGTTTTAAAATCTTGAAAACTAAAGTAAGGAACCAATAAAAAGGAGTGAAGCCAATTTTATAGAAACAAGACATCTTAGCCAATGAACTCTATGCATCTTCCACCAAAGTATGTCTGATTTGGCCTAGATTATTAAGTAACTATGTAACCATGTCATTGTGTTTGTTGTTACTTCTTAGGTGGGCTACGCTTCTTCCTGTTCTGTCCTCAGTGACAAGTTCCAGTTCCCGTCCTTTACTCGCACAATACCCAGCGACATATACCAGTCCAAAGGCATTGCTGAACTTGTCACATATTTTGGGTGGACCTGGGTGGGAACAATCGCTGCAGATGATGATTATGGGAAGTACGGCATAAAGCTATTCAAAGAAGAAGTAGAAAAAAATGGCGTTTGCATATCTTTTTCAGAGACACTCCCAAGAATATATAACAAAGAAGCAATAGATAAGATTGTGGGCGAAATAAGGAAATCCTCAGCTAACATCATCATTATCTTTTCCTCTGATATAGATTTGAGTGCATTAATGGATGCAATAGCAGAAACAAACATCACAGGCAAAACCTACATATCTAGCGAGGCCTGGACAACATCAGCATTGATAGCAAAGCCGAGTAATTATAAATTTCTTTGGGGAACGGTTGGTTTTGCGGTTAGGAAAGCTTTAATACCATCTTTTGAAAATTTCCTCCACGAGCTACACCCAGAAAACAGTACAGATGACCTAGTGTACGAATTCTGGGAGGAAGCTTTCAATTGTACCTGGAGAACAAATAAAGCAGCATTTTATACCAACATAAGCTCCGAAGCCAACGCAGCTGGAAGGAGAAGAAACATTTCACCGCAGCTGTGCACTGGAAACGAGAATCTTAGATCTATACAGAATACGTACACAGATGTATCTGAGTTACGGCTAACATACAGTGTTTACAAGTCTGTGTATACAATTGCCAATGCTTTGCATGATTTAGATATTTGTGTAAATGGTCATGGACCTTTTCCAAATAATGAATGTGCAGACGTACTTAACTTTGAGCCATGGCAAGTAAGTGTGTTTTACGTTACTTTACTTTATACTCTATGAATGTGTATATATATATATCACAGAGATGGTGATCACTTTCGATTCAGCATGTTAGAATACCATCTAATGTATATATATTGATACCTTAGAGAGGGTTCAGAGAAGGGCTACTAAACTGATTCAAGGATTGCAGGATAAAACTTACCAGGAAAGGTTAAAGGATCTTAACATGTATAGCTTGGAGGAAAGACGAGACAGGGGGGATATAATAGAAACATTTAAATATATAAAGGGAATCAACACAGTAAAGGAGGAGACTATATTTAAAAGAAGAAAAACTACCACAACAAGAGGACATAGTCTTAAATTAGAGGGACAAAGGTTTAAAAATAATATCAGGAAGTATTACTTTACTGAGAGGGTAGTGGATGCATGGAATAGCCTTCCAGCTGAAGTGGTAGAGGTTAACAGAGTAAAGGAGTTTAAGCATGCATGGGATAGACATAAGGCTATCCTAACTATAAGATAAGACTAGGGACTAAAGAAAGTATTTAGAAAATTGGGCAGACTAGATGGGCCGAAAGGTTCTTATATGCCGTCACATTCTATAATGTTATGTGCCATCTGTGGTCAAAACATATACAAAGTATTATTTATTGGGAACACCTATTTAATGTACATTATGTACCAAAACAGCCTTCAATTATCTGTTAGATTAAATTTAACAAATAGAGTAAATCTAGAAAGGGACCTTATTCATAGTTTGCTTGAATGTGGAAGTGTTATAATAAATTAAATAAAAAATTAATGCAAGCACAACAGTGTGTGTAAGGCACATAAATCAATATCCAGTGCAAAAAAAAAAAAAAAAAAAACATTTAAATTGTCAGCTGCATGCACTATCACTATCACAATGAAATAAGTGATGTTCTACGAGCTGTGACCTACAAAGTATAACATAAGATATATATTTATTTCTTACTCTTGTACAATGCATTAAAACTTATGATACAAAATCAATATAGCAGAGTGCAGATTACGCCACAGGTTGTAAATACAACCTTTGTCAGTGCAAATCCTTTGTGGTTAAACTCACATATATCAGAGTCTTAGGATTAAATGCATTTGTAGGAGAGGGATATTTCACCCTTATTGCACTTTCAAAGGCTTAACTCTCAGATAATGAGAAAAAAATATAAGGATTCAATAACGCTATAACGTTTAACAATTTTATTCATTTACAATAAATAAAAATCCTTGCTTAAAACATATGTAAACTCCTAATTTAAAACAATCCACAAAAGACATTCAGAATTTAGCGGATCCAGCTCCTTTCCAAAGCGATGGTTATAGTATACACATATTTAAATATTAACATAATGCACAGTGCATACATTAAGATACGTGTATATATGTGTATATCCATAATACTAAGTACAGATTAAGAAACAGCGCATACATTCACGCAAAATTACAGTTTTTGATTTTAGTTTTTATGTAAAACACCAATCTTAACAAACAAATAAGGGGATTCAGTTACACCACATGTCTATATTGTTTTAAGCCCAGCACTACCTAACACAATATGCCATATATTTTTGTTAACAAAGGTAATTTCATTACATAAAAATATACAATCTACAATAAAAACATGAAAGCGAACCACATATTGTGTAATAAAGTTAAACACCATAAAAGGGATTGGGGATATATTGCACTCACAAACTAAAAATTGTCTACTGTCAATTTTACCTTTTTATGCTTTTTATTTTTTTCATGCTTTGTTATTTCCATTAGTGGTGCTCACTTTGGGTCATAGTTTCTAATAGGTGATTTTAAGAAGCCTTGTAAAATTTAAAACTGTAATTAACTCATTAATCAAACAATTTTTTTGTGTGTGCGCACGATGTTCCTTAATCTGCATTTTGTATATATTTCGGTCTTTATGGCAGCATCACTACTAAGAAATGCATGTTCCCGGTGTGTGTCCCAGTTCCCTTTTTTCTGTGTGTATTTTGAATCCAGACCAGTTTCCCTTTGGGTTGAGCCATAGGTTTGTAGGTAACTACAGGAGTATTGTAACTGTTAGCTGTTCATCTCCCATGTTAAAATTAGTATAGGACGCCCTGATATTGGGGTACTGTGACATAGTGGTGAGCTTAACTTGATATGGCCATATGGTAATATGGTAGAACTGAATCCCCATATTTGTTTGCTAAGATTGGTGATTTTAAGTAGCCTTGTTAAATTTAAAACTCATTTTTTGTGTGTGATATGCTCCTTAATTTGTATTTTGTATATATTTTGGGCTTTACGCCAAAATCACTACTAATAAATGCATGCTCCGAATGTGCTACCCCAATTCCCTTTTTTCTATATCTATAATACTCTCAGTAATTGCATAATTTTAAGAAAATATATTGTTTTGTTTGTTTTTTTTAAATCAAACTTTGCCCTTCTCAATGCAACAACACACAATTTTTTTCTTTGACACACACTCTGGACACACAATCATTGACCCACACATCATACATTCTGACACACACACTCTGACACACACTAACACACACTCTCTGACCCATATAGATACTCCTTACTCACACACACGCAGAATAAATCGCACACACTCATCCCTTTTCATTCAAATAAGATATTCGCTCACCCACATACAAGATAGTCCCATAGAATATTTTACTTACCAGCAGCCTTGATGGGCCAGCACCGGGTCTGCAGCTTGTCCTTTTACTTCTTCTTTATTCAAGCATGACTGCGTCCGCTGAGATATAATGACTGCATATTAAGATAAAATGGAACAGGTTTGAGGTGTTGAATACTAGTTTTTTATTATTTATAACATGCTTTTAATATTTACAATTCTCATTAACATATTGTTCTTTATCTGTGTTTTTCTACAGTTGATGTACTACTTGAAAAACACAAAATTCTCTGTCTTCTCTAATGAATCTCTAAAGTTTGATGAGTTCGGTGATGTAGATGGCTATTATGATATTTTAAACTGGCAGTGGGCTTCCAATGAGTCCTTAGTATTTTCAAAAATTGGACGTTATACTGCCACTGGTAGCGGAGCAACCTTTGAACTCAGGATAGACAATAGTTCAATAATCTGGAATACCCCAACTGGACTGGTAACAAAATAGTTCATTGTATCCCGTAAATTACCAAAAGCATGCTAGACATGATCCTTATGGAGTTAATAGTATACTTTTATTTTAATTTTATTTTTCAATCATTGCAATCAGGCGTCATTAAATTATTGGAAGCGTTTTGATAACTTGAATAGTTTTCCTTCTTACAGATGACACAAAACAAGAACATTCTTACAATGTTACAAACGGGAGGAAATAAACATAATTATAAAGTAGAAAGAATAAATGATTTTCTCTAGCTACTCTTAATTCAGAAAATTATCTTTGTTCCTTTTTAATCATCACCAATATAATTCTTTTTTTTTTTTTTTTTATATAGATTCTTCAGTACATAAAGAAGGCTCTAACACAATCATGGTTTTTCTTAAAAGTGAGAATTCAAAATAAAAGTAAATGGGAGGTTTTATAATTTGGCTATTTTTATTCTTTGAAATCACTTTGAATTTCCAACAATTCTCACTTTAGTGAATAACCCTGTATAAATGCATTCTTTAAACAATGAAAGTTCAAACTCACAGGGTTCTTTACTGACAGGGTTATTCACTGACAGGGTTATTCACTCGCAGGGTTATTCACTCGCAGGGTTATTTACTGACAGGATTATTCACTCACAGGGTTATTTACTGACAGGGTTATTCACTCACAGGTTATTCACTAGTAGGGTTATTCGCTGACAAGGTCATTCACTGGCAGGGTTATTCACTGACAGGATTATTCACTGACAGGATTATTCACCCTCAGGGTTATACACTGACAGGGTTATTCCCTCGCAGGGTTATTCACTAACAGGGTTATTCACTGACAGGATTATTCACTCGCAGGGTTATTCACTGACAGGGTTATTCCCTCGCAAGGCTATTCACAGGCAGGGTTATTCCCTCACAGGATTATTCACTGGTAGGGTTATTCACTGACAGGGTTATTCACTCGCAGGGTTATTCACAGGCAGGGTTATTCCCTCACAGGTTTATTCACTGACAGGATTATTCACTGGTAGGGTTATTCACTGACAGGGTTATTCACTGACAGGGTTATTCAGTAAAGAAAGAACTCAAAGTAAATCTAAAATTTAAGGCCAGAGTAGCCAAACTGGAAGTATAGCTGAGTTGGAGAATTTTTCCAGTGGAGCTACTCTGGCCTTAAATTTGAAATTCACTTTTAATTTTTACTTTAGGGAATCATCTTGTAAAGTGTGACTTGTCTGGAGTTCAAAGCAAATTCAAAAAATGTATACCACAATGGCAAATTTGGAAATTTATTTTGAATTCACACTTTGGTGAATATTCCCATCTGTAAAGAATGCAACGTGATTAGAACAAAATCAGAGTTTACTAACAAAATGCTTTTTTTGTGTGCTATCTTTAGCCTCCTCGTTCTGTGTGCAGTGAAAGTTGTATTCCTGGGACAAGAAAAGGCATTAGGCAAGGGGAGCCGGTTTGTTGCTTTGACTGTATCGCATGTGCAGATGGTGAAATAACCAACGAGACAGGTATCATAGTGATTATGCCCTTACCTCTATTTTCCTGATAAATATATTTTCAATTTTTTTGTCAATCTTTGTTTTATTGAGTTAAATATAATAACATTACAAGAATTCAAGATACAATAGACAGGAGTAGCTTGGTAGATTAGCAATACCTAATTGTTTGTATTATTAACAGGCTATAACAGTAGGATATACAGCAGATAATCCACAGAAGCCCAACACATCCTATCATTTCTGCAGCCTAGATTTTACTAATTAAATCATGTGAGGATAAGGCAAATTAGGGTAGCCAAAGTAGTTATTTAACGGAGCAATAGATAACAGCTTAAGAGGGTTAGGTGCAGGGCCGGCCCGTCCATAGCCCGCAGTGGAGCCACGGCTCCAGGCAGCACTCTGACAGGGGCGGCATTTTGTAAGTTAGGCGGCCGCCTAAGGTCTCGCGGCCACCTAACTCACCATAGGGCAGGCAGACTGTGTCAGGTCCTCTGTCTTTCACTGAGGACGCAACACCAGGAAGGGGCCCGGCATGGGCACCAGGAAGGAATGCTGCCGGGTGCGAGACCCCTCCAGTCTGCCCTGAGAGGCAGAGAGCCAGCACAGTCTGCAGCTCCGCCTGGTGTGAGCTGCAGACTGTGCAGTGTCTCACGATCTCTGGCCAATCAGATTGTTGCCGCAGGTTACCACGGCAATGCTCTGACTTCTGGATATTGCTAGACACTGCACAGTCTGCAGCTCACACCCGGCTTTCAGCCTCTTATGGCAGATTGGAGAGACAGCCCTCCGGACCACCAGGGATCAAAGACACAAAAATAAAGGTATTTTTTTTTCAATTAAAATCCCCTCCCTCATTGTCACCCCACCCCACTGTGTCACCCCCTCCCTCTCTCAGTCACTCTGCCACCCCCTCCCTTACTGTGTCACCCCCTCCCTTACTGTGTCACCCCCTCCCTCAGTCACTCCAACACCTGTCACCCCCTCCCTTCCTCAGTCACTCTGCCATATCCTCCCTTACTCTGTCACCCCTCCCTCCCTTCCTCAGTCCTTTTTGCTTGGTGTAGTTTTGTTGGAGATAGGTGTAGAGGGGGCAGCATTTCATCCTTTGATCCAGGCAGCACAATGCCTTGTACCAGCCCTGGTTAGGTGGCACCCCAACACCACAGCGAGACACTCCTGGGGTTAATACAAGGAATACATGCTGTTCTCACACTATTACTAATACGAGCCTAGAGCCCTCGTGTGAGACCTTGAGAGTGCATCAACTGATTAAATAACCACCAGATGGTGTCAGCCATATGTTACATTAGTATTTAAAACATATCAAAAGAGTAGAAAACTAGGGTAGTAGTGTAGGGATCAGGTGTAACTATAAAACAGTGCACATCAGAACAGAGAGCATATCACTGGTAAAGAATAACTATCACTGCAGTGAAGCACTCTTGGTTATAAACATGGACACAGTTCACAGCCCATGGTGTTAGCCAGTTCCCTCATTGGGTAGAGTGTTGGCAAGTGCTTGGAGGTACCGGAGAGTGAAGGTGAGCCAATGGTTAAGGAGAGGCCCCTCCACAGCCCCAGGCCTTATGTAGGGTAGGCATCTGTGTACCACAGACTCGGGAGCTCTGTGAGGCCCGGTCTCTCATTATGGCTGCTGCGGAAGGTCCTAGTCTTCTGGCGGTGTCGACAATGCTTCAGAGGTAACTTCTATGTGACCCTAGGCCCAGATAGGCATTTAGCATGTGCAGAGGGTGCGAAGGTGTACGCTTTGCCAGAGACAGGCCTGCTCCGCTCAGATCTCCAGCTCTCTTCACCTTCCCTCCATGGGTTCAAGGAAGCCGAGTAAGGTGTTGCTCTAGCACGTCCCAGAAGTGTTGGAAGATCAGGTCCAGTTCTGTGGGTGAGGACTGCGTGGGTGCAGACATCAATGGTCGGGTTGCGTCCGCCATAATGCTAGGTCCGGTATGTTCGAGCCTGAGCTATAGTGGGTAGCAGGATTCGAAAGTGATGCATGTGTTTTGGGTTGGTGGGGACCTGGATAAACCCCGCTGGCTCATGGGGGGGAACAGGGGCTTTGCGTTACAGGTAAGTGAAACAGCGGGAGAGCGGCGTCTCCCCCTGCGCCGACCATGCTTGTAGGCGTGATGTCTGAGCTGTCGGAGCTGGTGTGAAGGTCCACTTGTGTGATATCATCATGTAGGTCTACGATTGCCTGACAGACCAAATAAATCGGGTCACAGCCTCTGCTCGGCTCAAATTAGCATTAGTTGCGGTAAGATGTAAGAGCTGCTGTGACATGTGTCTGCTTCGCTCTGCAGTCAGGCCCCGCCTCCCTAAAAAATGTAATTCATTAAAATTAAATTTCAGGGTTATTAACTAAAGGGGAAATTGTTGGGAATTCAAAGTGAATTCAAAATTTAATGGGACACTAAATTATATAGTCATCAGTTCATGACATGGAGCTGTAACCTAGTTGGATTATGCAGCAGGACAATAATTCAAAATACAAGAATACAGCCAGTATAGAATGGCTCAAAAGAAACAAAATCAAAGTCCTTAATTTAACCCACTGAGATGCTGTGGCATGATCCTAAACAGGAAGTTAATGCTCAGAAACCTCCAATGTTGCCAAATTACAGCAAGTTTGCAAAGAAGAATGGGCAAAAACTCTTCCAAAACAATGGAAAAGACTAACCTCCAATTATCGAAAGCCCTTTGTTGTAATTCTTGCTGCTAAAGGTTCATGGTGCAGTTATATTTTCACACAGGGACAATTGATGTTGGAATCCCTTTTAACTAAATACAATTATAAATTGAAAACAAATGTATTTTGTATGAAACCATTCAGGGTAATAAATATGAAAAATAGAGTAAATCAGTAATGGGCAAATATTTATTTTTCACTTTCTGTCATTTGCTTTCTGGTGTACCTTACAAAGGCAATGCCATATTTTGGAGATATTTTTTTCTTCCTGATATTTAGTTTGTTAAAATCTTATGAACAGAAGATTGGCTTCATGGCAAGTTCGCACATGCCATTTAATGTCTTGAGGGAATCCATGTACAAATATTTGTGCCTATTGAAATATATGAGAAAATGTTTACAGATTTGAGATTACAATGCTTTAGATTATTTTTCAACCACTCCATAAACAACAGACACGTGAAACACAAAAGGCTTTCTTGCTCATTTTGCCAATATGTGTCATATTTATTATACAGAGGTCAGAGATGAAATGCTTAGCTTTCCACTATAGCCTATTTAAATGGATGGACTACAACATTATCTAACAGAGGAGGGATACCTGTAGTGGTATCTGGAGAATGAAATCATCGTCATATCTCTAGAATGGTAATAATTTACCAGACTGAAATGACCAGGTCTTAGTACCAAGACCACTTCATTAAGATAAACTAGTCCTTGCACTTGGAGTATCCCTTTAATTTTATACTAATTCTGAATAAGCATACAAAATAAGAAAAAAGGAACGGCATAATATAGTTAAGGGACCTTATGGTTACCAAAACAACTTTATTTTACTGAAGCAGATTTATTGTATAAATCATACCTTTGAAGTTTCACTGTTCAATTCTCTGCCATAAAGGAGTTAAATCACTTTGTTTCTGTTTATGCAGCCCTAGCCACACCTCCCCTGGCTGTGACTGACACAGCCTGCATGAAAATAAAATGGTTTCATTTTCCATCAGATGTAACTGTAAATTGCACTTTAATCACATACAGGGTCTATTTACAGTAAGTGTTTAGGAAGGTAAGTCACATACAGGAAGGTTTGACTAGGGCTTCATAGACAAAGTGATTTATCTCCTAAATGGCAGAGAATTAAGCAGTGAGACTACAGATGCATGATCCATACACCAACACTGCTTCATTAAGCTACAGTTGTTTTGGTGACTATGTGCTTTGAAGCTGCAGCTCATAAGCCTCTCTGTACAAATGACCAAGGGGAAGAGGGAGAGGGGGTAGGGCCAAATTAAGAAGCCCAGTGGACCTGGTGCTGACAATTATGAGGGGCCTAAGTACAGAATCTTATCGACGAAAAACACTAAAACAGTCATACCTCTCAAGTGTTATGTATCTGGTGGAGATGTTGCCAGAGGTAAACTCATAGGATGCAATTGTGAGACAACTCAGATTCTCTTAAAATATGCTAATCTCTCTAATTTATCTCTCTAATTTATGTTTTCATCTTTCAAGTAAATCTATAACCCCTAACAGCAGTATCAAGTGAAGCAGGAAGTCAATGGGCCGTGTAAAAGGATGGGCCACTGACGCAGATCATGTAATCAAAACTCCTGAAGGGACGAACATGCTCAAAAAAGAGGCGTGTCTGCCCAAAGAATTGATTGGCTGCCTGTCAATCATGCATGCTGGCCAATAGCGCACTGAACTTGGCATAAATGTGTCTAATGATGCGCTCGCTCCCTGTTTTCTAAGGACTGTCCCGTAGCACTCACACGTCCACTTGTCTCCTGGCTGATAGAATTTCGGTTGCCAAATACTTTCTTGTTTATAGCAAATTTCTAGCCTGCTTCATTCCCCCTGACCCCCCTAACCTCCTCCCCCTGCTTGCCACTCCCAGCTCTAAATGCCTTTTAAGTAACTGTTCTATCTCTCTCACTTAGCCCCAAGTCACCACACATCCCTGCAAGAAGGCCTTTTAATTTTGCTCGGCTCTAGAGGCCATCCGAGGAGTGGCCACTTGGAGGTGTCCCTAGGGCCAATGTAAACACTGCTTTTTCTCTGAAAAGTCAGTCTGAAAAGTCAGTGTTTGCATGAAAATGCCTGCATGCAATGATTATACTCACCAGAACAACTACATTAAGCTGTAGTTCTGGTGACTATAGTGTCCCTTTAACTCATTTCATTTCAGCTAGTCCACACAGGTTTTGTTTCCATATATCCCTCTTAAGTTTCATACTTAAGCAAGAGTATGTGAAGAATAGTGAGGGTTGCCACCTTTCTTGGAAATAAATAAAGGCCTTACTAATTTGCATAACTAATTGTGTGATGATATCATATGATGTAAATCACAAAGAGTGGCATAAGATAAAATTCTCTAAAATCACCCAAAAACTACTTACAGTTTGATTCTTCTGTATAGATAGATTGCTTCCAGTGTCTCCCTGTCTCCCAGTGTCCCCATGTCTATGTGTCCCCATGTCGCCCAGTGTCCCCTAGTGTCTGTCCCCATGTCTCCCAGTGTCCCATGTCACTAGGGGACACTGAGAGACATGGGGACACTGGAAGACATGGGGACACTGAGACACTAGGTACACTGGGAGACATGGGGACACTGAGACACTAGGTACACTGGGAGACATGGGCACACAGACACTAGGGACACTGGGAGACATGGGTACACAGAGACACTAGGAGATATTGAGAGACATGGGGACACTGAGAGACATGGACACACAGACACTAGGGACACTGGGAGACATGAGCACACAAAGACACTAGGGACATTGGGAGACATAGGGACACTGAGGCACTAGGGAAACTGGGAGACATGGGGACACTGAGACACTAGGAACACTGTGAGACATGGGCACACAGAGACACTAGGTACACTGGGAGACATGGGGACACTGAGACAGTAGGAGATACTGAGAGACATGGGAACACAGACACTAGGGACACTGAGAGACATGGACACACAGACACTAAGGACACTGGGAGACATGGGTACACTAGGGACACTAGGAGACATGGGCACACAAAGACACTAGGGACATTGGGAGACATGGGGACACTGAGGCACTAGGGAAACTGGGAGACATGGGGACACTGAGACACTAGGTACACTGGGAGACATGGGGACACTGAGGCACTAGTGACACTGTGAGACATGGGCACACAGAGACACTAGGGGATACTGAGAGACATGGGAACACTGAGACACTAGGGGACACTGGGAGACATGGGGACACAGAAACATGGGGACATAGACACACATGAAGACATTTGGGGACACAGACACGAGGGACACTTAGACAATGAGAGACATGGGGACACAGACACCAGGAACACTGGTTGGGAGACTCCAAGTTTCTCAGTGTCCCCATGTGTGTCTGTGTCCCAATGTCTCAGTGTCCCCATTTGTGTCTGTGTCCCCAAGTGTGTGTCCCCATGTCTCCCAGCGTCCCCTAGTGTCCTCATGTGTGTCTGTGTCCCCATGTCTCAGTGTCCCTATGTCTCCAAGTGTCCAAAAGGGACTCAGCATCCCCAGAGGTCTCACAGTCTCCCCTAGTGTCTCAGTGTCCCCATGTCTCCCTGCAGCCTTTACCCCGTCTCAGTGTCCCCAAGTGTCCTCATGTGTGTCTGTGTCCCCATGTCTCAGTGTCCCTATGTCTCCAAGTGTCCAAAAGGGACTCAGCATCCCCAGAGGTCTCACAGTCTCCCCTAGTGTCTCAGTGTCCCCATGTCTCCCTGCAGCCTTTACCCCATCTCTCACTTCACTGAGCTGAAGGCTATCTCTGCAGGATGGGAGCTGCTGTTTGGACTCTCTGTGCTGTGAACCTGCTCCCCCGCAGATCAGTGAGGAGAGAAATGCAGGTATATGCTGTAACTTCCTATCCCTGCCTCTTTCCACATGCACAGCGACCCCTAGTTGGGTAATCTCTGTTTATACTGAAAAAAATACCGGCATTTATATATCGGCACCCGCCAGGCAGCCTTAAATAAATACCAGCCAGGTGGCAACCCTAAGAGTGATGTTAAAAATGTATTTTTTTTTTTTTTTTTTTTAAATCAATGGGCCTATTCCATGGACAATACACAAGATCCAGCACACTCTCCTATCTACTAAACAGCAACTGCAATGTTGACAGATTTTATTCATTTTTTAAAAAGTTTTTTCTAAAGGTTTTTTTTTAGAAAACACCTAATCTAGGCAAAAAATAATAGGAATTTAGTTACATTATATGATCATACATTGCATAAGCCTGCCACAACGTCAATGTACCCCATCTTTGGCAGGTCCTACTCTTACAGTCTAATGTCTACTCTTATGTGAATAACTCACTTACTTGTGGAAAGAATTCCATCTGAGGCTCTCTGCAGTACAAGAGTAAATGGGACCTAGCCAACTCCTTGGTTTTGCACCCCTCCCTGTCACAGGTGCCTCATCTCAGGTTCCTATTTAGCCTTTTACTGCAGAGAGCCCCAGATGGAATTTTTTCCCCAAGTAAGTGAGTTATTCACATAAGCGTAGACATTAGACTGTGAGAGTAGGACCTGCCAAAGATGGGGTACATTGACGTTGTTGTAAGCTTATGCAATGTATGATCATATAATGTAACTAAATCCCCATATTTTTTTGCCTAGATTAGGTGTTTTAAAAAAAAAAAAAACTTTAGAAAAAAACTTTAAAAAAAAATGAATAAAATCTGTCAACTTTGAAGTTGCTGTTTAGTAGATAGGAGAGTGCGCTGGATCTTGTGTATTGTTTATTGAATAAATTGGCCCCCAGCAGCACCCCCATTTAAGCATGTTCAGGTGAGTGCAACCACCCCCCCCCATGTTTCATATATATGTATATTTGGGAGTCTACCCAACTCCTTGGTTTTGCACCCATCCCTGTTACAGGTTCCTCATCTCAGGTCCCTATTTAGCCTTGTACTGCAGAGAGCCTCAGATGGAATTTTTTCCCCAAGTAAGTGAGTTATTCACATAAGAGTAGACATTTGCCTAGGGCTTGGGCCTGGAGCTGCAACTGGATCAGTCCCTATGTTAATCCGGCCCTGGGAGGGGGTGGAGGATTGTCCTTACCTGTCTCTAATTCTAAATGAACATTTTTGTTAATGATACATTTCTCACTAGATTCCATGTTATTTTTGCAGATGCAAGAGAATGCATTGCCTGTCCATCGGACTTCTGGTCAAATTCCCACAAGAATGAATGTGTATTGAAGGAAGTGGAATTTCTTGCCACTGATGAGGCATTGGGGATCACATTAGTATTCTTGGCTGTATTTGGAGCATCCCTCGTCATTGCCTTTACAGTTATCTATGTGATGTACAGAGAAACCGCTTTAGTCAAGGCAAACGATCGTTCCTTAAGCTTTGTCATCCAGATATCCCTGGTTTGCACTTTTATGACATCCATTCTGTTTGTTGGCAAACCAGAAGAATGGTCCTGTATGGCACGCCAAACTACTCTTGCCTTGGGATTTTCCCTCTGCTTGTCCTGTATTCTCGGAAAAACTATTGTTTTGATGCTAGCTAAAAGGGCAGCAAAATCTAAAGTTGCTGATAAAACTAAACAAATAACTATGAAACCTCTCTATCAAAAAATAGTTGCTGTTATTGGATTGACTATTGAAGTTGGAATATGCATAGCCTATTTAATTATATACCCCCCTTGGGTCTATAAAAATATGGAATCCCAAAATGTCAAAATTATTCTGGAGTGTAATGAAGGCTCAATTGAATTTCTGTGTTCCATGTTCGGGTTTGATGTTTTCCTTGCTATATTATGTTTTATAACTGCTTTTGTAGCCCGTAAACTTCCAGATAACTTCAATGAGGCCAAATTTATAACTTTTGGAATGTTGGTCTTCTTCATTGTTTGGATATCTTTTGTCCCAGCATACCTAAGCACAAGAGGGAAATTTAAAGTAGCCGTTGAAATCTTTGCTATTTTAGCATCAAGTTTTGGGTTACTTGGTTGCATTTTTGTCCCAAAGGGATATATCATTTTACTGAAGCCGGAAAGAAACACAGAAGAGATTGTTGGAGGCAGGCAGGCTACTAATGATAAAAGTGCACCAGCGACATCAGCCTCCATTACCAGTGAGATTAACAATACAACAATATCCACTGTTGTGCTTGATGATTAAATCCCAACGTATATTCACTTTCTTTTAACGACAACCCTTTTCTCGTACTGCTGCGGCACAAATATTGCATGTTAATCTTTACTGTTCATAAAATGTTGCACAGGTTTGGCATTGGTATAGTATTTTGTGTGTATAATTCAATTTCTGAGGAGAAAGTACAATAGTTTTATTTTATAAATGATAAAAAAACAAAACAAAATATTCATTCAGAATTGTAACCAGACAAGATGGCATGTTACTATACCTAATTTTTTTTTACAGTTAGAAAACACAAACACTTATTTATCTTGATGTAGATTTTAAAAAATTTATATATTTTTAAGACAAATGTTTATAGTTGAACAGCTAATCATCTCTCAGCCTCTGGTCTCATTAAAACAGAACAAATTTAATTGTGTATTTTATATATATTAAAGTATATTTGGTTACTTTTTATCTGTGCCACTTATCCTTTTATACACTTTATTCACTACCTGGCATTCTCTCAACATCCCGGACTCCAAGAAATCCTAGGTGGGGATCATACCACCAGCGGTACGTCAAGGAGCAGTTGTTCTGCTCCCGCCTTGTGAGTACCCATTTTATTTTATTTGTTTTATTATCAACATTGTATCCAGTGTACACTATTGGCTGTTTCTTTCTACCCGAGTGTCGGATACACCACTGACGGAGGAAATCCACCCCATATCCCATAAGCGGGGATCAAACCGCTGTACGCCTTCTATACTAGAGCAAGTTTAGCTCTTTCAAATGTGAGTTTTATTTTTTCCTTTTAATTCATTTTTAGTGTTTTAAACATTTTACACTATTGGCTCTCCACCCTTTTATCTTCCATATACGAGCGGATTCCCACGGATGAACATATAAAGGACAATTGCTCCGGATCAAGCACGGATAGATCCCATACCCTCAAAGAGCATATTCTAGATAAGACTTTCTTATTTTACTACAGTTATTTATTTGGACTATTTGCTATTCCCATTTGTGTATTGGCGCAGCCCTTAACTTTTTATCTTTTCTCTGGTCTCATTAACATTGAATTATTGGGGGAAAAAAACATGTATTTCATATATTTACATTTACTTGCCTCTTTATTGAACTAGAAAGTTTAAATATATGCTTCAATGTTGTGATGAGCAAGTCCCACCTAAATGTCCTACATATTTGAGTATGTGCGAACTTCAGAGATAAAGAGCTTACATTTTTATGGTCTCTACGATGCAGCTATGGCATGTTCTGCATATTTTGCATTTGCAGCTAATTTGTTAACGTAGCATGGTAGAGTTGATTATTGCTGCTCAGTGACCGATTATCATTAAGCAACATAATCCTTCTCTGCTGGTCACTAAAACTCATTGAACACTAAAAAGCATTGTTGTAAAATTGATGGATGCATTTCTGTATATAACTGCTCACATCCTGTTAAATAACTGTTTCATCTAACGAAATGACCTAAGTATGTATTTATATGTTGTCCACCAGCAGTTGTGATATACATTTATGAGATGAAAATATTTGTTGCTACTCTATTTTATGCAGCATCCGACATATCATGTAGCAATATACTAAAGGAAAGGAAACATACAGAAGATATGTCAGATGGCAAACATTTAGAAAACAATCAAACTCAACAAGGCTAACTCAAGTGATACCATTATAATAGAATAGGGATCACAAGATAAATATAACTAATGCAATTAATTAAAATAATATTTTAGTATAATTCAATATAAGAATTATTAATAAATAAAATGCATTTTATTTTTTGTTAAATAAAGGCCTTGCAGGGCATTAGTGACCCATAGCAATAGCATAACTCTAAAAGGTAAGGGTTGATTAACCCACTATAGAAATACAATTGCAATTATTGGCAGCAAGTTCATAAAAATCTGGATTGACATGCATTTATAAATATGATTTGGAAGCGAGAGTCTATAAAATAAACTAAAATGGATATTTTTCAATGTGTTCCAAAAAGTAAAGACTACCAAATTTATAGTGGATGAAAAATCCTGCCATGTTTTTCTCCCCCCCCAAAAAAGTACCGGAAATATTTATAAAATCATGGCATTGGCGAAAAAATTTCAAAAATGACAGTTTGGGAAAAACAAAGCAATAGATGAAAAAATATGAGGCATTTTCTAAATTGCACCAAAAAGTGCTGTGCCCAGTGCCCCCAAAACGAAATATTTTGTTTTACTTCCTGCAGTTTAAAGGGAACCTATAATCCCGAAAATATCAATAATTATTTTATGAATGGATATGTTTTATGTAACTTTTATATTGTGTTATAATAAAAAAAAATTTATCTATTCAATTTGATCTGTTGATGTAGCGCCCCCTAGTCTCTTATATTTGGATTACGTCAATTAAACATTTTACATTTTTCTAAGGCTAGCTGCAAACATGCTTTAGATTTAAGATTTAAGTTTTTTTTTTTTATGTCATTGAACATTTGAGTCTAATTAGTGTTCAAAGCTGTTTATTGAATGGGTTATATGAAACATTACGCAACAAGCACAAGGTGTGGTATGTGGTTTGGACACGCAGGTCCTTGCAGATAGGGTAATACAGACATAGTGTACATTTTAGTTCATTGTTTGCATTTCCCTGAGGCAACTGGATTAGCTGTGTTATATGGATTAAAGCAAAGCTTCAGCACAATGCATTTGATTCTAATTAGTGTAAACACTAGTATATTCTTTTGAAAGTTTTGAAAAATGAACATTAGTGAACATAATAATATGTAAGACATTGAATGAAATTTTAGTATATTTTATACCAACCACTGGGTTTACTCTGATGGTGTATCTTTTTCTTTTGTAATTATGTCTTAAAAAAAAAATGTAGTAAAATAGGGAAATTGTCTATTAAAGGTACATATTTTCTAATCACTTACCTAAAGTGTACATAAAGCAGGTACAGTTGTAGTTCACGAACAGACATAGTCTAATGTTTGACTAGGGTATGGAAAAGAAAGAATGAGTCTGTTATGTTTATGAAGGTCAAGTTTATAATCTGGTGAATATGCAAGTGTGTGATTGTATATGTACTAGGAATATGCATTGTTTCTCTGTAACTAAGTACTTTATATCTTGTATGTGATAAAAGTTACATATTGAGTTTCATGCAAATTATTCTGATTGACTGTGAGTCCAACTAAAATACCTCTAAAATTCCCAGAATAGATAAATTCAATAAAAAACTATATATACATGATTATTTTGTTGTGTTGCTTTACAGCAATACCAAAAAATGTTGTCTTGTCTCTCTTTCACATACTAGCTATGCTTTTTATGCAATTTCTGAAAGTTGTACACTAGTTAATGAGTTAATATATAGATTAAAAATATTTTTTTTAAATTGATTTTGTAGCTATTTTATTGTCTTTTTGGTCTGTTTTAGTGGCAGAGTTAAAAATTGCTACAAGATGCAGAGTAAAAAATAAAAGTAAGAAAAATTTGGCAAAGAATTTGGTGAAAGCTGTATTGTGCATCTCTCTCCTACATATAATTTGGTGATAGCTAATTTGACTCTTCCACAATGGTGAAAATACATGCAGTGATCACCACAAAACTTAGAATGCCAAAGGTTAGCAGACAATACTGAACAATGTTAAGCGTGAGTTAAGTTGCATTATTTGGAACTATTTGTGGTGTATTTCATGAGGTTAAATTGGTTTTCAAATATGCTAAAGTCACAGAGAGCAAAAATATAATATAATATATATTCTTTTGATTTACACACCATATTTAACAAAATGAAGGTGCCAAATATATTTTATATTTTTAATTGTGATGCGAAACTTATTTTAAAAAAATAGACATTTGCTACTTGAATAAGTTCTCACCCATTATGCTTAACATTGTGACCCTGCAAATGTCTAAAAATACATTTCTTTACAAATTGCTCAAGCTCTGCCATATTGTTTGGGACTGTCGGAAAACAGCAATTTTCAGGCCTTTCCACAGGTTGTGTCTTGCAGACTGAATTAGGTTTTCCTCTATGATTGCACCCTTTTTTTTAATTCATCTTTTTCTTAATATTGACTAGTTATCCCAGTCCTATTCAACAAAACACACCCTACATCAGAAGTACCTTACCAATGCTTTATTTAAGGAATGGTGATCTCAGGGCAACGAGCAGTATTAGTTTCTCACTATACGTTTTGTTTTGTTATAAGGTCCAAAATTTTATTCTAGGCCTCATTAAAGTATAGAACCATTTCCACATGTTCGTTGTGTTGTCCAAACTCATTTGACAAACTCCAAATAGAATGTAATGTTTTAGTTTTTTCTCCAAAGTCTTTCTGTTTGAAATAATAACAATAATGGTTTACTAGGGATGTTCATAGTTTAAGATATTAAAAAGAAACAAAACTATCCTAGATTGGTGCTTCTCCATAACTTTATTCCCAACTTTTGTTGATAGCTTCTCGTTCTTCATAATGCTGTTTGTTTAAACTGGTGATGTTTGAAATGATTGATATCCAACCAACAGCAGTGCCTTTTATTTGTTTGCATAACCTATGTGTCACAATAAAAATATATATATATTACTCCTTCAAAGAGTGAGGTATAGTATGTAAATCAAATGGTAAAAATCCTAATAGGATGTTGCGTCCAAAAGCTTACGTAACAATGTAATTCACTAAATTGTGAACTGGCTGGAATTCAAAGTATATTTCAAATAAAAGTAAAGAAATAAGATAAAAAGTGGAAACGGATACTTCTGTTACTTCTCTGGACCTTGAGATATTGAATAGTACAAAATGTATATTTAACACACAACTTACAAATAGTATCACAGTCTCTGTTGTCTGAATTTTTCTTTGCATTGTCAGCTATTACTTTAAATACTGCCTATACATGTGATATATGTTGTATGTTATATATGTTATATGTTTGAATCTAACAGATATTTTATTAAAATGAAATAAAATATTTCTAACTAACCTCAACTTCCTGTCATCTTTCCATGACCATTTTGTACATATACATCATCATCATTATCAAGCAATTCTAACACTAGCAGCTAATAAATCTCAGTAAATTCCAGCAATAACAGTATATTATTGTAATTGCCATGCCCAACAACCATGATTCAATGTACACTGTAGAAATATTGTTAATAAATGTGATGTGTATAAATGGTTACCTTGTTAATAGGGGTTGGATGGCTGATTACAATATTGCAGGGGTTTGCAACCTGTGGTACACGTACACGTACCCCCAGGGGGTATGCAAACAAAATTTCAGTAATGGCAGCCATGGGCTGGGAACCAGGCCATGGGGCACACTGGGCAAATGCCCGGTGGGCCACGATGGCCATGGGCCGACAGGGGTGGTCACAGGATGTCCCCTGCCAGTCCCCTGGATGTCCCCTGGCCCTGCTGTGTGCCTTCATGGGCCGGTGGGGAAGTCAAAGATCTCCTCCATCGGTCCAGAGACACTGACAGGCAGCCTGCAGGAGAGGGAAGGAGGAGCCTGGAGGCGGAAAGTTCCTCCTACAAGCTGGGCAATTCTGAGCATTGCCACGGGTTACCACAGCAACCCTCCAAGGATCTCGCGGGAGGACTGAACTCTGTCTATCTCTGTAGTGCTGCTCATCTCCTCCGGACCACCAGGACAATGTCCCTCTCCCTCAGGAAAGGTAAGCAGAGGGGAGAGGGGACATAAAGCTTATTTATGTATTATTATTTTTTTTAAATAATAATTTTCATTAAAAATGTGTTTTACTCCTACCCCCCCACCCATATGTAGGCCCACACACAAACACACACTACCCTTCACTCACACACTGCACCCCTCTAATAAACAGCAGAAAGATCAAAAATAAAAAAGGGCTTCTTTCAACTGTTTAGTAGATAACTACCTAATTTGCTATACGTGGATATTTAGGGATAACAAATTTGGGAACTATCTATTAACAGTTGAAAGATCAAAATTAAGAGCCCTTTTCATAATATTGATCTTTCAATCGTTCAGTATAACTCCCTAATTTGGTATCCTTATCACAATGAATCTATCCAAAACATTTTGTTTTGGTTCATTCTTGATTAGTTCATTTTCAGTTAGATTTGTTATTAGTTATGTCCAACATAGGCAAATCCCCCCAAAATTGTACAAATTTCAAAAATGTAAAAATGCATTACAGCTTAAAAGAAGAGTGTATAGAAATAACAGATTCTACGTCACAATCTTTTTTTCATAAAGACAACCAATAAAAAACAGCAACATTTCTAGCCCAGTACAATGCCACTACCCCCAATACACTTCTCACATTTGCATGATTAATAGTAGAGACCACACATTCATGCTAAAATTACGTTTTAGTTTGTTTTTAATCTTTTATATTTCACAGATGTTTTCCAGACTGCTCAAAACTGATTAGAAAACACATGTCCTATAATGTACTAAAATTGTAGTTTCAGAAATAAAATAATAGAAAGCAACATTGATTAATAATAACAACAACTAATAAAAGATAGAAAGATAGCCAGGAACAGATATTTAGGCTATGCAAAGTTATATACTCCATAGTCACTAGCAGCAGGTAGATTACACATTAAAATCAGTAACAACTGTAAAATAACAAATGTACACACATGTATAATTATAAAATTAGAAAATCACCTCTAACTGTCGCAGGCTCATTGCCTAGGTGTTCTCTTTGACTCGGACATCTCCTTCACCCCTCATGTCCAGTCCATTACCAAATTCTGCTGCTTCCATCTCAAAAACATAGCTCTGCCCCTATTTACCACAAGATGTGGCTAAGGTGCTGGTCCATGCCGGGTTTCTTTTTTTTTTTTTTTTTTGTAAATTCGTTTTATTTGTGGTATTAAAGTCAAGAAAAATCAGACTCGCAGGTCTTAGGAGGCACATCATAATCAACAACAATACTAGCATCATTCGTTGGTGGAGTTAGCATGACATGTGGGAACATTCTCGGGCTCGCAGGCCCACAATATTGCCGGACTCGCAGGTCCCTGGTAATTTCTAGCGGCACAGCTATGTTTTTTGAGTGCACCAGTTGTTGCTGTGTACCCAGGTGTTAGTCTGATCATGGGCGTTAGGGTGGGGAGCTGTCCGGGCTTCGTTCAGTCCCGCTAGTGCTGTTTACGTGTCGGAATTATTCAGTTATTGTTTGTGGCTCGTCTGGGTATAGTAGGATTAGTATGTATTGACCTGAGTTTTCTATTTGTCGCGAGTCTGTGGTTCTGTCATCAGATGTCTTGTCTGCTCCTTCTGCGTTTCTGAACGGTTGTGGCATGTCTCCTCACTATTTATCTCCTTCTCCTGTCCTATGACGTCATTGTGCGTGGGTTTTTTAACTTTCATTTTATCGTTTCGTATTAGTCGTGTGTCTAAGTGTTGACATGGGTGTAGAGGGTTGCGTTGTCATGTTCATGCCGGGTTTCTTTCTCGCCTTGACCACTACAATCCCCTTCTCAGTGGTCTTACGTGTTCCCAGATTGCACCGTTGCAATCTATAATGAATGAGGCAGCGAGGCTCATTTTCCTTTTTCGCCCGCACCTCCCATGCCTCCCCTTCTGTCAATCCCTACATTGGCTTCCAGTGAGATATAGACCTCAATTTAAGATTTCGGTGCTTGCTTACAAGTCCCTACATGATGCTGCTCCAACCTACCTATCCTCCCTAGTACACAAATATGTCCCATTGAGGCCCCTGCACTCTGCCGAAGACCTACGTCTATCCTCTGTCTGTACTCCCATATCTGATGCTCGCCTCCAAGACTTCTCCAGGGCTGCACCTGTGGAACTCCCTTACCTTCTCCTTTAGACTTTTACCAAGTCTCCACTCCTTCAAAATTATTTGAAAACACACTTCAGAAAAGCGTATCATTTAAACTGTTAGCAGGTTTTCATTACCCCCCCGCCCCCCATGACTCCTCTCCTGCAACTGTCAAAAATAACCTAAGTTCTCAGTGAATACTTATCTAGCAACCTTTTTCATTACCCCTACTTATACCCTTTGTGTCACTATACCCCACTCCTTCTAGCATGTAAGCTCTTTGAGCAGGGCCCTCAAACCCTCTATTCCTGTGTGTCCAGATTGTCTGGTTACAATTACGTGTCTGTTAGTCCACCCATTATACAGCAATATGGAATTTGCTGGCGCTATATAAATAACAAAATAATAATAATAATCTACAAGTA